TCCTCCTGCAGTCAGGCTAGTGTGTGTGTTTCTTTCAAGAGGTAAGTCACGTTAAACAGTGACCTCTACTTGGAAACCAAAACCAAACCCCCAAAACCCACAGCCACAGAACTAGTTAAAAGAAGACAGTAAGGCCAGGAACAGGAAAAGCAAATTACAGTTCTCTAAGGAGAGGGTGCTCTGACCTGGTGTCACATTGAATCACTTCCAACTGAAAAGCCTTTAGATTAAGTAGAGAAAATGGATGTTTTGTGGCTGCTTCATGCTGAGGGAGACAGATCCCTGAGTGCACCTTGCTGTAGAGGTTACAGGAGCAGCTCTGCTCTGGAGCCAGGCTGAGAGAGCTGGGCTGGGTCAGCCTGGAGAAGAGAAGGCTCCTGAAGGGGAGACCTGAGAGCAGCTCCAGTGCCTGAAGGGGCTGCAGGAAAGCTGGAGAGGGGCTGGGGACAAGGGATGGAGGGACAGGCCAAGGGGAATGGCTTTAACCTGCCCGAGGGGAGACTGAGATGAGCTCTTAGGCAGAAGCTCTTCCCTGTGAGGGTGCTGAGGCGCTGGCACAGGGTGCCCAGAGAAGCTGTGGCTGCCCCATCCCTGGCAGTGTTCAAGGCCAGGTTGGACACAGGGGCTTGGAGCAAGCTGCTCCAGTGGAAGGTGTCCCTGCCCGTGGCAGGGGTTGGAGCTGGAAGAGCTTTAAGGTCCCTCCAACCCAAAGCAGGCTGGGACTGTATGATTATAAAAGTGAAATAACCAGTCAGTTTTAGTTCAGATGTTCCGTAGCCACGTACGTTTTCAAAGAAGAATGTGTAATCTGCTTTTTCCATACACATTTTCAAACCCTAATCTTCAAATAACCAGCACCAAATCTCTTTCCAAGACTATTTTAGTGTCTTGGTAAAAATGAAGTGAGAAGGCTAGCTCAAACCGACAGCAAACAGGATTGTTTTGGGAAGCTTTCTGTTTTGGCAGCGTTAGGTTTCCAGTTGGACTCACTGCTCTTAAAGGTCTTTTTCAACCAAAATGATTCTGTGACTTCAGCAAGACCAGAATTTCCCTCCATAGTTCTGGAACTGAGCTACCCCATGAAGTCAGTCACTGGAACTGAATTCTTGGCACTGATGAGGGTTTCCTCCCTTCATCCAAATTTGCATGAAATAAGGTAAAGACAACATTTCTTTTCATGACAGTTTTATGAAGGCAGATTGGGAAATAGAGAATACCTGGAAATAAGCACAAGGATCCTTTGTAAGCAGGAGTGAAGCAGTGCAATCTCCCCAGGGTTGCTCTGGTTGGGTGGGATCTGGTCATGAAAGCGCAGATGTTCATGCAGCTGTTTCCTGAAGGGGTGCCTCACGCTAAGCACTGCTGCAGTGGTGGGAATCCCTGCCTCTTGCACCAGCAGGTAATGGGGGCCTGTGATCCCTGGGGGGGCTGTAGAAGGGTTGTTTGTGGATCACGTTGGGAGTAACACGAGTACTTCTACTCTTGTGTAACCTCTACAACAAGGAAATCGTGGCCAGTGGTGTTCGGGTGTTTTGTTTTGTAACTCATGGTTATAAAACTCAGAAGATGCACCATAAGCCGGGGAGGGAGGTGTAAATGTGTGCAGGGCAGGAGCAGTTCTGAGGTACTGGGGGCGGTCATGGAGAAACAGATGCTGACATTGTGTATATACTTGATGGAGTGTTTTAATTCATCTTGCATCTCATGTTCTTGTAAAGTGCATCTTCCTCCCACGCTTCCAAGACTGTCAACTTGTACAGTACTGTATGGAGTCTGTTTTCAGGATTTCCATCCTTGCTGGAGCTTCCAACATAGACGTTTCTTTGGAAAACTGTTCCTACTGTTCCTTTTTGTAAATAGGTTTTTGTATTCAACTTGCATGGATAAACCCCATTTCCAAACCAGTGTACATACGCTGTGTATAAAATACAGACTGTTTCATAACTTTCATGTAGTCAAGTTATTCAATATGATTTCAGGTTTTCTATATTCCTAGTAAATGATGATGATTTGTTGTATGTTCTCTCAAGTGTCTGTGTTGCCGTTTTGATAGATGGGTGACCTGCATCAGTCAGGCTGGACGTGAGGAAGAGACTTTGTACAGTGAGAGTGGTAAATCCTGGCACAGGTTGTCCAGAGAGGTGGTGGCTGCCCCATCCCTGGAGACATTGCAGGCCAGGCTGGATGTGGTTCTGAGCAACCTGGTCTGGTTGAACATGTCCCTGCCCATTGCAGGGGTTGGACCAAATGGGCTTTGAAGGTCCCTTCCCACCCAAACCATTCTGTGATTCTATCTCTTGTGTAATGATAAACAGAAGAAACGTTGACTCTTATTCCAGGGCAGTAGGATGCTGACAGATGGGGTAGGTTAGGACTTTGGTTGTGACCAACAGGGACAACAGGTCTGAGAATACGTTGAGATAAGACACCGTCCCTTGTAGCAGGGTCTTTACATGTTTAAACGCTCTCCTGTCTTACACAGCATGAGGATTACCCAGTGTCTTATAGTGCATACATTTGGAGCAGCATCGTTTGAATCATGCTCACAATCGGCTTCATCAGGTCTGGAAACTCCAGCTGGCAGAAGAGCTCCTGAGGTTGGATCTGGCCACGCACAGGTCAGCTTCTGTGTGGTTCACAGCAACCACCACATCCGACATGAGGGACAGAAGGGCCGGGTTCTGGAGCTGTGGTTGGAGGTTGTTCGTCCCCTCTGGGGTCTGTCAGGTACCTGTAAGCTCTGTTCTCAGCTGTGGCACCCTTTCAGCCTCTCCAGTGTGCTGCTTGCACTCCAGTTGCACATCGTGTGCCTGCGGCTGCTGGTTTACATGGGTTAAGTCATTGCCATGGCTGTAGCCTTTTAATGTCCCTCTCTGGTTGCAGTCCAGAGATGGATGCAGGTGCAGAGCCCTGGCTCAGCATTGCTGTTCCCAGACTCTTTTCTCTGGAGACTGAGGAGAGTTTAGGAAACTAAAAGAAGTCCAACTCCTCCCTGGTTCCTCAGGGCTCTGCTGTCCCGGGGTCTGTGTTCAAACCCATTGATCAGCTACAGCCACCACTCCAACGCTGTTCGAACCCCTCCGAGGGTGAAAATTTGCCATTTAATGTTGCAGTGACCTCAAAATGTCTGTGTCATTGGTGGTGGTTTAATTAGCTCGGCCTCATTAATAATGGAAATCTTATGCTGCTCATTATCCTGATTATAGAGCCAAAGAGGAGACTGTAACACACCCGCCTGGTTGCCACAGCTCTAGCGCTGCCCTCGGGACTGAGCGATGCACAACTGGGCACCAGCAGGGCCAGAAGGATTAGAGCTTGGTGACTCCTCTGACACGGACGGTGCCAGCAGCAGGTCTGACTTCCCATCATCTTGACGTGGTTTACACTATGGCAGGGGAACAGACCCACCAGACTGTGTGTGAGCGGCTCGGGGGCGCGGGTTTAGCTAACACTTCAACGTGACCAACTTCCCGGGATACTTGTAGTTTTCAGCAACTCCATAAACATCTCTTTGGAGTCACAATCGTGGCTTTAGCATAATGATTTCACTACCAGAATTCACACAACTGCCCGTGTGTCCATACAGACATCTCTGTGTGCGGGATCTTCTGTAGGGCTGTTAGTGCTACATCCCGTTCCCTGCTCTTCAGCGTTTCAGGCAGGTTTGTTGCTCTGTCTCCTAACGCATTCACAGGTATTTTGCTGCTCCAAGCTTAGTGTTGGGGTCTTTGAATTCTTCTGCAGCTTGAGTGAGGAATACGGGTATCTTAGTGTAAATATTGCTGTGTGTTGGTCAGGATATGACATTGCAGAGCAGGATTCGGCAGCTGTTGAGACATTGTTCACTTGAGCCCCTTGCTTTTGATGTCCAGAATCTCCGGTTCTCCTGTAATCAGAAGGAAATCAAAAGAAAAGAAAAGCAACAGCAAATTGTGCTCCCTGGCATCAGCTTCTAACACACGAACACTGGAAACTATTGGAGGCCCTTCTGCCAGCAGGGGTAACTTTGTGATTTTTGGCTCACGCAACACCACCCGCTATTTCCCAGGAATACCGGTTAAATGAGGATTGTGTTGTTTCCGAGGAGATGGCAGGGAATGGTCAAACAGTTTCCTTCTTCCGGTCATTGCAAACTAAGGGCTGCAAAAGAGGAGAGGGAGTAAAGAGAACTGTTCCTGTTGGACCACTGCATCCAGTCAAGCATCGTTTGTTACTTGATGTCCTTCACCTTCTGGGAGCAGTCCCCTGCCCACCTCTTGATCTGTTCCTGTAGCAGTCATAGAACCATAGGATCTTAAGGGACCTTAAAGCTCCTCCAGCTCCAACCCCTGCCACAGGCAGGGACCCCTTCCACTACAGCAGCTTGCTCCAAGCCCCTGTGTCCAACCTGGCCTTGAACACTGCCAGGGATGGGGCAGCCACAGCTTCGCTGGGCACCCTGTGCCAGGATTTTACCACCTTCACTGTACAAAGTCTCTTCCTCACGTCCAGCCTCAATCTCTCTCTTTTAGTGTAAACCCACCACCCTTCGTCCTGCTGCAACAGCCCCTGCTGGAAAGTCTCTCCCCATCTCTCTTATAGGCCCCTTTTTAAGCCCTGACAGGGCACACACACTAAGCTGGATTGATCTGAAGATGTGCAGCTGCTGGTGGCTCATTTCTCGGGAGTGCTGGGATTCTGATGGACCAAAGAAATGCAGAGGGATTTTTGCCCAGCCCCACACCACCCTCCTTAGTTCAGCTCGCAGGTTGGAGTGGGCAGAGCGTGCGCTGCGGTGCCATGGGAAGCGCCCACAGAACTGCTGCTGCGGCACAGAAATGGTCTAAACTGCGAGGGGCCAAATCTCAACCAGCACAAGGCACTGGAAAAGGGGCTGCCAGGAGGGGCTGAGGGCTGGGGCAGGTTTACACGCTTCCCACCACCGCCAGTGGGAGGAAGGCAGTGTCTGACTTGTGTTGTGTGAGTCCTTCCTGGTGGGGAGGGGTTTCTGACCTCGGATGAATGTTTTCTGGCCAGACCTGCACAGACAGGCAGTGTAGAAGTATGGGACAGGCGGGTTTATAGCTGATATTCTCAGGCTATAAAACAGGGCGCCGATGAGGGACAGATGCTGTGGGCTGGAGGACAAGCCAAGGCAGCTCCCCTTGTGAGCTGCGGCTCGTTTGCTTCCCCTGGAGCAACCTCCCTACTGGGCCGGGCAAACCCCCCTCTTCTCCCTCCAGTCCTCCTCCAGCACACACAAACCATTCCCCTATCCCCAGTGCTCTCCCCTTTCCCAAGGCAGGGTGGGCACCTTGGCCAAGCAGAGAATGCAACAACCTCCACGCAGCCTGCGCATCACCCTCCCATCCATGGCAGTGCCTCCGCTCAGCATCGCTGGGACAGGACACGGATCCTGCCCAGTTTGGCCTCATTGGATCTCCTCCTCCAGGACCAGCATGGAGACTGCATTAACAGTGGCAGGAGGACGAGCACAACAGAAGCATCAGGTACCAGCACCATGGCTCAAGGAAGGGAACAGAGCAGCGCTGGTGGTTTGCAAAGGGCACTGGTCTCGGGAGGAGGGTGGTGGGAGGAGGCTGCACCGGTGGCACTCCACAGCAGGAGATGCAGCCCTGCTCCCCCGGGTGCTGCAGTGGTGGAGCCTGGTTCCTGCAAACCCCAGCTCTGCTTTTTTCCAGTCCAGTTTTCTCAGGAACTGACCCCGTTCCAGCACTTGGGAACTGGCATTCACCCTGCTGTGAAATGAGCTTCATCTGTTACAGATGATCTGTCCAATGTGAGCTTTTCTGCTTAAGTAAGTAGCTTACACAATGAAAAATCCATGGCTGTTAAACGTTAACCTTGCACAACCCTGACAGCAGGGCCATACATTTACCAGCAGCAAAGGACTTGTTTTCCCCTGTCCTTTGCAGAAAGTCAGCAGGAAAACAGCCAATTGCAGTGATGGGAGAGCTCGCCCATAACCCCCTCACGGCCAGTATGCACAGGGTGCTCAAGGCAGCGGGGCTTGTGCTGCACATTTCTACTGCTCTTTACTTTGGAAGATGCAAAGCAAGGGGCTGTTCACCTCTTCAGTGGTCTCCAACCACGGGTAAAGCCCCCATTGCCTTCACAGAACCATAGGATCCCAGCCTGTCGGAAGGGGCCTTAAAGCTCATCCAATTCCAACCCCTGCCACGGACAGGGACATCTTCCACTAGAGAGCTTGCTCCAAGCCCCATCCAATGGGAATGGTTTCACACCTGAAAAGGGATGGTGCACCCCTCAGCTCTGCACAGCCACTGCCAGCACTGCCCCGTGCAAGCACATTGTCTACCTGTGTGCACACAGTGAAATGGGGAGGATAAATGGGAAGTGGAAAGGAGCCTGATCCTGCCTTTACTGTTCCAAAACGTTCCCACTGACTCCAGCTGGGAAGCAGTAACACATTAATTCAGGCATCAATTCAAGCAGCAATACCACAGGTCTTGTAGAGGGGCTGGAAGGTTGCTTTCTCCCTGCCCCACAAAGGTGACGTGCTCCTTCGGTGCCTGATGCTGTTTCTCATGTTCTTACTGTCTCTGAATGGTTTCTCAATACACCCAAACGTGGCCGTGGGCAGATCCAGCCCCAGCCCATTGCTTACTGGGGTACGTGCACCACAGCCCTGCTCATTCCAAAGCATCCTTTATCGTCCCTCCACGAGGGAACTGCAGCAACCAACTTCCCTTAACACACAGGGCAACATGGGGATGACCCATCTTGTATGAGTGCTCCTGAGCCTGGCTGCTCCCGTACTCAGCTTGTCGAAGCACTGGTGCCTTGCAATGGGTCAGGGAGGGCTCGCAGGGGAGGAGGATGAATTAAATGGTGTCAGGTGAGGCCATGCGAGTGCCATGTTCATAGAACCATGGAATAGTTTGGGTTAGAAGGGACCTTCAGGCTCATCCAGTTCCATGGGGAGGGACAGGCTCCACCTGAGCAGGTTGTGACGAGCTGTGCTGGTGTGCCCAGCCCACAGGAGAGCCGGAAAAGGATGGATACTTCTGTGTATTTCCTACATAGCCCGAGGGGCAGGAGCAGCCGGATTGGGGTGGTCAAAGCAGGGCTGGAGCTGGGGGACCACTGCCCGGAGCCGCATGGGACGAGGTGCTGATGGGGCCCCCGCGGCGAGGAGCTTGCAGGCAGCCTGCACTGATTGAGCCATTTGGTTTTCATTGTCATGAGTCACTAAAACACCCAAACGAAGCTCGGACCTCCCTGAGCGCAGCTGGAGCCGCAGTTACCGCCGGCACCTCCTCAGCCCCAGCAGTGCCCTCTCTGGGGCTGCCTTAGTAAAGCCTCCGGTCATGCGGCAGGCGCTTTAACCCCTTGGCAATGTGGCATCGGATCCCTGCTGGGCCTCTTTAAAAGCCTGCACAGCGCTGGGAGATGCAGAGCCCGGAGCAGCGCGGTCCCGGGGCTGCGGAGGAGCTCAGCGCTCAGCACAGACGGGCCCTGCGCGCTGGGAGGGCCAGGTAAGAGCTTTGGGCTGGTTTGGGAGCTTTCCATGCTAGCCTTTGTTTGCTTTTATTCGCCTTGTGAATGCACGAACTTGAGCTGTGCGGGAACGGAGAGCGCTTCCTCCACCGACATTCGTGTGCTCCGAGTTAGAGCTGCTGCTGCCCCAGCTCTGTAAGGCTGCTCTCCCCATCGCTGCATCCTTGAACTCAGCTATGGGACCTGTCCCAGGTTTTTACTGACGCAAGGTTTATGTCCTATTTGGTATGTTAGGAAGTAATTCCAGTCGTTCTTTCTCACTGGAACATCTCCATCTGCTCTCATTTCAAACAGAAAGTTACTGGTATGGCTCATAGGGATGCGAGGGACGTGGGGGGAGTTGGTATTAGTTTACATTGAAAACGAGCAGTTAAAATTCCTGTATTTGTAATTGCTGCCACGTGTTGCCAGTGACAAGTTGTGGGTAACTTCAGTCCCCCTGCCCCCTCCCAGCACAGCCCCCTCCGGTTCCCCTGAGCCACTGCTGGCCCAAACACTGAGGGGTTCTGTTGGCCCAAACCCTCAGCTCCCCCCAGCCACCCCTCGCTGGAAGCTCTGCGTTCAGCAGACCCCGGTTTGGCACGACTGCACCAGGGCTGCTGGTGCTGAGGAGGAAGCAGCTGTGCCCAAGGAGGACCCGGGAGGCCAGGCTGCATGGGCAGTGCAAAGGGAGGTTTGTGATCTGGAAGGAGCTCAGTGGTGCGCCGCGTGCTTACATGGATGTTGCTGTCTTCTTACACAAGCAGAGTTTGAGCAGTGGCCTTAAGCTTTCCGTAAGATTGATCTCTATATCCATATCTAGTATAGATCTGTATCTATAGCTATATATCTATATCCATATTTATATCTATTTATCTATATGTCTATATATATGATCTGTATGTATCTATATCTAACCTCTGTCTCTCTGTCCCCCCCATCTGCTCTATACCTATAGCTGTATCTATATGTAACAATGAAGGAAAACCCAATTCTTTCTACTTGCAATCCATGTGCTTTCTGGCACAGGGCAGCAGCCTGGGCTGGCGTGCCCATAGGCAGCAATTCCTACCCACCTTCAGCATGAAACCTGCAGGAAGGGGAAGACCCCTCCCTGAAACTGCTCCTCTCCCTCAGTCTCCGCAGCAGACCTGCTCAGGAAGAGGACTTTGACCCCTTAAAACACGATCCTAAGAGGACTCCTCATGAGCATTCCTATTGCTCCTCTTCCTGTTGAAGGGTGAATTGGAAGGGAAATTCCCTTCCTGCATTACCTCTTCTCTTTAGTCCCCAAACACCGACACAGGGAGACTGGAATTACTGGCGATGCTTGCACGAGCTGTGCACGGGCCACGGTAGGGCTGGGCACTCTGCCCTGCTGTCTATCGCAGTGGGGATGTCGGGCTCTGCCGTGTCCCTCTTCCTTGGAAGCTGCGGCAGTGGTGACCGAGGGACGGGCTGCCGAGCCCGGGGACCATGTGCCGAGGCAGCCAGAAACGCGTTCACACGGAGCCAGGCTCAGCCCAGTGTTCCCATCCCCATGCTGACACACGGGGCTCCCCTGGGAAAGCATTAATCACGCTCGGTGAGGGGTACAAATGCGCCTGCTGTCAGCGCCGGAGCCCTTCAGCTCTGCTCTCCCCATCCAGCCTCCGCGGCCCGCAGGACACCAGGCACCGGCCAGCACAGCCCCTCGTGTCCCCCCTCCCAATGGCTTCCCGGTGGATCTGTGCTCTCTGCACAGCGCTGGCGTGGGGCTGCGCCGCAGCATCCTCCTCCTCATCCCCCGCTGCAGGTAAGGGCTGGCGTGCGGCCGCGCCGCTGCCTAACGGGTGCTCTGCATTGGCCCGGGCTGGTGATGAAGTCAGTCCTTCGGCTGAGGCTTTGCTTGCGTGTGTGTGTGTGTGTGTGTGTGTGTTAGAGCGAGCGGCGGCTGCAGAGCCCTGTGATAACGGTGTAAGTGCACTGTGTGCTCAGTGGGTACCATCTGTCTGAGTGATTTCAAAGGAGCAGGAACTGCCTTTGGTGCCCAGGAAATCTATGGATAACAGTTATCGGGTACATGGCTGGGACAGGGTAAATACCACTTGGGTACCTAAATGCTCCTGAGCATGGTCCCAGCGGACAGACTGTGCTATAGGTGTAAGGATCACAGAATCCCAGACTGGTTTGTGTTGGAAGGGACCTTAAAGATCACTCAGCTCCAACCCCTGCCATGGGCAGGGACACCTTCCACTGGAGCAGCTTGCTCAGAACTGGGGGATAACACTTTCTGCTCTACAAGCTGCATCCATGGCAATGGTGTGTGTGAGTGGGGGGGACCTCAGCAGGGGCTGTTGCAGCAGGACGAGGGGTGATGGGTTTAAACTAAAAGAGGGAGATTGAGGCTGGATGTGAGGAAGAGACTTTGTAGAGTGAGGGTGGTAAAATCCTGGCACAGGTTGTCCAGAGAGGTGGTGGCTGCCCCATCCCTGGAGGCATTGCAGGCCAGGCTGGATGTGGTTCTGGGCAACCGGGTCTGGCTGAACATGTCCCTGTCCATGGCAGGGGTTGAACCGGATGAGCTTTGGAGGTCCCTTCCCACCCAAACCATTCTGTGATCCTGTGATTCTATGAAATAGAGCATTTCCAGTCCCCGGCTCGGTACAAGTGATGTGGGTGAGGCCAGCTGGCCGTGTAATCCTGTGACCATGAGAAACTGTACGAGACAGTGCTGACATTTAAAAGGAAAAATCAGATCCCTGAACACAAACCACATCCCAGAATAAGCGTTCCCATCCCCTCGGAACCCAATCGCAATTGAGTTTGCAAGAATTCCTCTTTACAGGGGCAATTGGTTTGTAAAAACGCTACGATTCTGTTCCGGCTCAGGATGGAAGCAAATCCCGGTGTAACTGTTCTCGGTCAGAAACTCCATTTTGGACCAATCCAATCCTCTCTTGACGGCCGAACACCAGGCTCAAAGCGAAGGCCAGGAGCTTTTTGCTCCCTCGCTTGCGAGGCTCAGCATTCCCCCGCTCCACAGGATATTCCCGAGCACAGGAACGCAGCTCTCACCCGCAGCACATCCCCTTGGCCAGGTCTCGCTCCAGCAGCCCCACGTCTTCCCTGCGCTGCCGGCCGGGACTGCCCGTGCTGGGAACGCCGTGCCTGCGGCAGCGCAGCGATCTCGGCCCTTCAGCCGCTGTTGAACGTGGGGCTGCTGAATGCGGAAGCTTTGCACTGCCAGGGCCGTGCCCCATTGCCTCTGGAGCTGCAGCGGTCCCACCCCCTGAACCCAGGCTGCCTCCAGGGGTCCCCGTGGTGGGACAGGGTTATTTGTTAGACAGGAAAGGCCGCAAGATGGAATCTCTCTCCAGGTTCCCGCAGTCTGGTGTTCCTGGCCCGGCTTTGCCATCTCACATAACAACACATTCCCCCCGGAGGCTGACGAGCTGGGAAAAGTGGGATGTTAAGATTACTGCCTGGGGTGTGCTTCATTTGGGAGAAAGAAATCCTGCAGGGATGCTCTCTGCAAGCTCCCCAAGGAGCACAATGAAGTCTGATTTCTATCATCATCTCCTGCTGCAATCTGCTCTCAGGGTCTGCTTCCATGGGGGGGTATTTATAAACAGAAGGAAAAAACGGTGTAAATCCTGATAGGGACACGCAAAAGGGGGCAGAGAGGCAGTGACCTGATGGCCAGACTCGAAGAGAGAAGTGGTGACCATGCTGGACTGGCACTGCCAGGAGATGGGCTCCGAATCACTGGGACAAACAGGTGTCATGCAGTGAATGTGCAGAAACCCCAACGGATCTGGATAACCTCGGCTCTAGAGAGTGGAGAAAATCACTGCCGATTACAAAACCTGATTTAATTTAACCAACAAAACCGAGCAGCCAAACAGCTTTTGTCAATGACAGCTCCGCACGCAGCTGGGCTTTGAGGCAGCAAGTCTTAGTACAGAATTCATCCATGATATATGCTGCTCTATTAACATGATAGTACCTTACAATAGCTTAATAAAAGCCAGATTGACTGTAAAAGCACACTTTTGTACAGCTGATGTACAAAGTAACAGTGATTTTCGCTCTGCTTTCCTGCTGCTTGTTTTTCCTCTTGTTTTGTTCTCATGGTTCTATAATATACTGGAATGTTTAAAGCAGGATGGGTGGTTTGTGCCTCATGGTCAGGGGATGGCAGCACGCTGTGACCTGGCATCCTGTGTTGGTGTGTGCTGAATGAGTCTGCGAGGGTGCTCAGTCAGTAAATACCATGAGTTAAGAGTCAGCAAAGACAGGACTGGACGGATCAGATCAGAACACTCGTTTTGGTTAACGGCCCTTGAGAGTGCCAAAGGTGGAGCATCCTTTGTGCCTTCTCACTGGTCCTTCAGGGGCTCCTCTGAGGGAAACCTGGGCTTGTGTTTGTGTTTGTTCCCTTTGCCTCCGCACTCTGGTTTCCTCCCTGCTTTGTTTCCAATGCAGCTGCTCCCCCACAAGACCTACACATCACTGATCCTGGCCTCCTGGGCTCTCTCGATATAGCGTGGAAACCTCCACCCGATGCACAGACCTTCAACGAGTGCACAGTAAAGTACAGGTTTGAACACCGCAGCGCTGGGGACAGAGACTGGAAGGTGAGACACAGCTCAGTTTAACCCTCTTACACCCAGGGGATTGCTCTGCCTTTAGTCCTGCAGCAGTTTCTGTTTGCATTTTGAGGAGGGGTGGCACCAAAGCAGTTCCAGCTTTCCATGAACAAGCCAGACTGCTCCAGAGGTTTGGATCTTTTGCCAGACGGGAATGTGGTCTGAAATGCAGCCAGAGAAGGGGCTATTTCTGTCAAGGTGTGGTGCTCGCTGACAAAAAGGGTCCAGTAATATCCTGTAGCATCCCTCACTGTAGGAGGCACAACAGCCTCTAGAAAGTCTTTAGGGAGCTTAAACCAAAACTTGGTGTCATCAGGTCCTTATGGATGCAAAGTGGGGAATATATAAGATTACATTTCATTCATTATGCTAATGCTCCAACATTCCCCTTATCCAGGGATACCATTGACTCAGCTTTGTCATAAAATGGTCTCTCACTGATGTGCAGCAGGGCAATAGCAGGCTGTGAGGGCTGGAGCAGCTCTGCTCTGGAGCCAGGCTGGGAGAGCTGGGCTGGGTCAGCCTGGAGAAGAGAAGGCTCCTGAAGGGGAGACCTGAGAGCAGCTCCAGTGCCTAAAGGGGCTGCAGGAAAGCTGGAGAGGGGCTTGGGACAAGGGATGGAGGGACAGGCCAAGGGGAATGGCTTTAACCTGCCAGAGGGGAGACTGAGCTGAGCTCTTAGGCAGAAGCTCTTCCCTGTGAGGGTGCTGAGGCGCTGGCACAGGGTGCCCAGAGAAGCTGTGGCTGCCCCATCCCTGGCAGTGTTCAAGGCCAGGTTGGACACAGGGGCTTGGAGCAAGCTGCTCCAGTGGAAGGGGTCCCTGCCTGTGGCCGGGCTTGAGCTGGAGGAGCTTTAAGGTCCCTCCAACCCAAACTGGGCTGGGGGGGTTCCATGGTTCTATGAAATGGGTTTTGGCCCACACATCCCATGGGAGCCTGCAGGGATGGAAGAGCACAGTGCCTACCGCCCTCTTTCAGCTATGGATTGTAATTGTGAGGGCGTGGAAAGGGGCTCTTTGACCTGACATCAGTCATGATGCACATCACACTTGGTCACACAGCTGTGCAGATTCTTCTATGATGATCTCAACTGGCATTAAAAAAGCACAAAGGAAAGCAAACACAATTCTAATAACCACGTCAGAGTTCCCTAAATCACAAGTAATAAAAGTGTCTTATACAAAACAGCTCTACAAAGCAGGAAAAAACACCCCACCTCTGACACCTTGCCAAAGGCCAGATCAGACCAAGAAGAATCAGTCTGGGACTGGAGGATACACCATGGGAGTACAGCTAATCCTGCACCCACCGGGGGGCAGAATTGGTGCTGATGAAGTCTGTCTTTCACCCAGGTGATTTTTACTAAGAAGCTAAAAGTCAGAGCTGGCTTTGACCTCAGCAGGATTGCTGAAGTGAGGGTCCAGACACTGCTGGAAGGGCGCTGTACGGATGGTGTGGAGGTGCAGAGTGACTGGATTTATGCTACCTTTCAGGTCCCATTGCAAGGTTAGGAGCAGCCTTTGGTACCTGGTGCTCTTTGATTTTGCATGAGCCTGTTGCATGAGCCACTGGGTTGCTGGGTGGATAAACCATTGCAGGGCTTGTTGAGCTGTAAGACACCAGAGCATCTTGGCTTCCAGTGCCTGTGCGGGTGGATACCTGGGGCTCGTGTTCCTCCACCTGTATCCAAGCTCTGCTGGGCTGCACAACATGAGCTCCATTGCTGAATGCAAAGGTCGGGCATGGTTCTTCCTGCCTTAGGTCCAGTGAACTGGTTTTTATAGGAAACACGGCGCTTGGCAGCACAGCTAACAACGGTGGCTGGCCTTTTCCTTCCTTGTCTTTCAACTGCAGCACACAATTGTTCAAAGAGGTAGAATGCTCCTTCTGCTGGGCCTGACTGGTACCTGGCTGAAGAGTGGTTATTTCCTTCTCATTTGGCAGGAAAACTGGAATCAGGGGTTCAGAATTTCCACTGCATCTATCATGACTGGGAATACCTCAAATGCACTTGGCAACCGGGTCTCCTCACTCCTCATAGTGTACATTATGGACTATATTATTGGTATGTATCAGCAAGATAGGCAGAGCATCCAGGCAGCAGCCAAGTGAACCTCTCAGGGTACTAAAATGCCATGGAAAATATGCTTTTATGGCTGGCAGTGCTACTACATGATCCACTCAGGATGAGCTGAAATAATGCTCCAAGCAACATATTCCTTCTGGCAAGGAAATACTAAATCTCTGCTGACCTTCCACAGGAAATGCCTTCTCCCATCCTCCTTTCCCTTGTATTCACCCCTAAGGAGTGCTTTCTGCATATTGTTCACCACAAAGCCCTGTCCTTTCCCTTTGCTGAACGTACCTGGATCATTTTGGCTGCACATTTCCCTTGATCATATATCTCTATAGGATGGGCTCAGCAGGAGGTTACCAAGCTCAGTGAACCCTATAGAAAGAGCAGGGCTTCCTGGCAGTTTTATTCTTCAGGTGTATCTCCATAGCATTAGCACATCTCATACCAGCAAACAGTGCTGCCAAAAGGTAGTAATAATGCATGTTTCTCAGTTGCTTCTTTCATCCTGCTGCCTTATGCCTCTGTTCTGCAAGAGAAACAAAGTCAGACTTGCTGGGTTTGGACAACAAATGCTGTACTTGTGCTCCCAGTCCTATGATACAAGATTCAGATTTCTAGTTAGAAGATCATTTGGTTTCCTGTCTTTGTTGCTGTTCAAAAATAGCTTCCACACAGCTCTTGGCATTACTCTACAAAGCAGAAGCGCTGATTTTGAACCATTTTCTTGACTACAGAGGTCTGCTTGAAAGAAACCATGAAAATTCTGATTTGTGCCTAAAAAACCCCACCAAACCACAGAAACCCACCAAACCCACCCCGCTCAACTGCCGGCAGCTGGACCCGGGTCCCATTGTATAAGGGGTGGGAACGCAGCCATGGCATCCTCCGCTCCCTGTGAGTCAGTCAGAGCGGTGCCACAAGAAGCCTTTCCCCAGACACGTGTGCTGCGCTGGGAGCCTTCCCTTAGGGGCAGAGCAGAGGCTGATGCAGCCCTGCCTCGAGGGCACGAACCCAGCAGGAGGCTCAAGGGTTCAGCGTGCACTTGCAGCCCAGGCCAATTGTGTCTTGGGCTGCACCCAATGGCCAGCAGGTCAAGGGAGGGGATGCTGCCCCTCTGCTCTGCTCTGCCCTGGTGAGACCCTCACCCCCCTGCAGTGCTGCATCCACCTCGAGTCCTCAGTACAGAAAAGCCATGGACCCGTTGGAGAGGGTCCAGAGGAGGAACCCAGAAACCACCAGAGGGATGGAGCAAGCTGCTCTAGGGGCAGGGGTTGGAGCTGGATGAGCTTTATGGGCCCTTCAACCCCAACCTAACTCCTTCCTGGCTCCACCCCTGGTTTCCATTACATGCCTATGCAGGTGCAGGGACGTGCCCACAATCAGCCTTAACAGCTCCTTAACACTCATTACATTCAGGTGTGCACGGGCTGGCTGGGGAGGTGACATCCCTGCAGCCCCGGAGCTGGTGGTGCTCTGTGTGCCCAAGTGTCTCCGTAAGGAGGGGCCACATCCTGCCCAGGCTCCGCTCACACAGCGGCACCTTGTGAGGCCTCTTGTGCTCCGAGAGAGAGACTGACACAGCCTACAGACCAGCCTGGGAGCGGGATTCCAGGTGACCAACGCACAACACTGTGCTTTGTGGAAGGCAACGGGTAGGCAGGATATAGGCAACACCTGAGGCTGAGGCCTCACCCAAGCAGTCAATGCCATTGCTTTGGTTCTTTCTTTCTCTTTTCCCACCCCACCACCAGGTACGAGGGGCTGGACCACGCGGTGCAGTGTGACAGCTATGTTCAGGAGCACGGGATGAACGTCGGCTGCGTGCTGCAGAACCTCAGCCAGGCAGAATATAAGGATCTGAGCATTTGCGTCAATGGTTCGGCGGCCACGGGGCTGCTCCGGCCCTTGTACATCACCCTTCGCCTTCACAGCCTAGGTAACGCTGGCAGGGGAGCAGCAGGGCGCTGGGGAAGAGCTTCTGCCTGAGTTCCAACCCAATCTGCTTCAGTTTGAACCCATCACCCCTTGTCCTAGTGCTCCAGCCCCTGATGAAGGGTCCCTCTATGGGTTTCTTGGCTCTAGTAGCACCAGCACAGAGCTGGTTTCATGTCCTTATGCTGGAACTGAAATCACTGCTCTGCTCCTGCAAACACAGAAGAGCTCTTTGGGTTTGTTGTTCAAACCAGGCTAAGGGATGGGGAGAACTGAGTGCAAAGTGTGATGGGGTCTGCAGAGGAAAGGTGCATTTCAAACAACAGAGACACAGAAAGGAAGGAGAGCACAGCATGATGTATCACCCAGCACATCCACTCACTGTTACGGGCACTTACCACACTGATGCATTTACTCATTGAGGGATGAATATCTAGTCCTGCAGCTGAGCCCCCGGGCTAAGGAGCAGGATGTCTGGATTCAGTTAGCGCTGCCATGTGCTTCACGTGTGGCTTTGAGCAGCTGACATAAACCAGAGCCTCTCCTGGGATGCAGAGAATGTTCTGTTACAGGCGCCAGGCTGTGCGCCGAGCACAGGGCTCACAGCACAGCGCTCCAAAGCCCCTGCATCCCAGCCCAGCACAAGGACCTAGCGCAGCACACACACCAAGGTCAGGGGAACTCGCCCTCCAGGCCGGTGACATCCGCTCCCGCAGGCTGTGGCTGATGGCGATGGCAGCCCAGAAACCCCATCAGCGAGGAGAAGGGCAGAGGCTGTTGGCGATAAACTGAAGGTGTTTGATTGCTCCTCTTGACCTTCCCTCTCTCTGTCCCCCGGCAGTGAAGCCCCCACCCCCGGAGCAGCTGGTGGTTTCCATGCCTGAGCCGCAGGAGCTCCACCTCGCATGGACCCCCCCAAGCGGCAGAACACCACCCCAGTGCCTGGAGTACGAGGTTCAGGTGGCAGAGGATGCTGGCGAGGACACGGCTTCCTGGGCGGTAGGGACAGCGCGCACCGTGCCCGGGGGTGGGATGGGGGAGCCCTGCCCATGGCTGCTGGTGGGGAGGCAGCCGGGAACTGGGGCGTGCACCGAGCTGTGGATGGCGCGTGCAGGGCCATGAGCTGGTGCTGCTGGTGGAGAACCACAGATCACAGCATGGTTTGGGTGGGAAGGGACCTTCAAAGCCCATTTGGTCCAGCCCCTGCAATGGGCAGAGACATGTTCAGCCAGACCAAGTTGCTCAGAACCACATCCAGCCTGGCCTGCAATGTCTCCAGGGATGGGGCAGCCACCACCTCTCTGGACAACCTGTGCCAGGATTTTACCACCCTCACTCTACAAAGTCTCTTCCTCACATCCAGCCTCAGTCTCCCTCTTTTAGTTTAAGCCCATCACCCCTCGTCCTGCTGCAACAGCCCCTGCTGAAAAGTCTCTCCCCATCCTTCTTTATAGTCTCCTTTTAAGCACTGAAACACTGCTCTCAGGTCTCCCCTTCAGGAGCCTTCTCTTCTCCAGGCTGCCCCAGCCCAGCTCTCTCAGCCTGGCTCCAGAGCAGAGCTGCTCCAGCCCTCGCAGCATCCCCATGGCCTCCTCTGGCCTCACTCCAGCAGCTCCACGTCCCTCTTGTGCTGCTGCCCCAGAGCTGGATCAGGGCTGCAGGGGGGTCTCCCCAGAGTGTAGCAGAGGGGCAGGATCCCCTCCCTGAGCTGCTGCCCTGGGGATGCAGCCCAGCACATGGCGGGGGGGGTCTGGGCTCAAGTTCACACTGAAGCTGGGTCATGGGGAGCTGCTCCTCACCCAACACCCCCAGCCCATCTCCTCAGGGGTAAACACTATCAGCTGCTCCACTGCACGTGTTCCTACTTAACACCCCGACCCCCAGCTGCAGCATTTCCTTTACCAGTCAAAGAGCCCAGTGTGAGTCTCAGAGATTGCTCCCTCAGGCCCCTGCCTGTTATCCCAGAGAGCTGTCATCAGCAAGATGTGAGGGTTGTTGGGCTTTGTTTTCCTGAGTACGGCAGCACAACCTGGGCCAACAAAACTGTAACTCTAAACTCCCCATGGAAGCAGCCCAGGACACAACGTCATTTGTGCTTCTATGATGCCTTTTCCTTGTGCATTACCTGGGGGCAGTTTTGGTGGCAAAAAATAATCATAAAGGATCAGAGAATCCCATCCTGGTTTGTGTTGAAGGGACCTTAAAGCTCCTCCAGCTCCAACCCCTGCCACGGGCAGGGACCCCTTCCACTGGAGCAGCTTGCTCCAAGCCCCTGTGTCCAACCTGGCCTTGAGCACTGCCAGGGATGGGGCAGCCACAGCTCCTCTGCCAAAACATAACCCAGTGTTTGCAGAGGCTGTTCCGAAACCGCAGCGCTGGTGGTGGTGCCCTGGCCCTCCCTCACCTTTGTTCTTTCTGTTTGCTCCTCAGTCGGTGTCAACGCAGATGGAGACCACGTTAACGATTTACAGAGGAAACCAAAGCCGCGTCTCATGCGCTCGGGTCAGGGGGAGAACAAACATTTTCTGTGCGGACCAGGGCTTTTGGAGCGAGTGGACACAGGAGTGCTTCTCTGGTACGGACCCCAAAGCAAGCCGCGTTTCTTTGCATCCTTTATAGAGCCTGTCTGGGACCTGCCGTGGGCATCTGCTGGTGTCCAGCACTGGAGGCGGGATCCTGGTTTAGTCACACCCTCAGCCTGCTCCAGCACAGCCATTCCTACAGCTTTGCACCTCCTGAGCAGGCAAACCCCAAATGTTAATGCTTCTGGACCAGTGCCTTTCTCTGCTGCACAGGGCCGGCTGGGATGGGGCAGTGACTGCTTTGCAAAAGAGGGCACGTGGTACTTGGAGTCTCTCCACAAGCATCCTCCTGCTGCCCCGCACCACAGAGAGCTCCTTTGCACCCTGCAGGCTCCTTAGGGCTGTCCCCATGTGCACTGGCCCTGCTGCAAAATGCACAACGTGGGGAAGAGACACAGAGTGGTGGCTACACACATGTGCAGAACAGATGTCACCCTGAAGGAGGATGTTACCCTGTACAGTAACATATACCTGGCACACCTCTGTAATAGATAAATACATTTAAAAACATAGAAATACATAAACAAATACATAAATAGAGACATAAATATATGTACAATATGTAGGGTAACAAATCCAGACACACTGAGCTTGCACTGGAACCCAAGCTTTGTAAGAAGCAATATGACCCATGCCGCAAGCTAATGTTTTCTTCTTTGCTGTCATTTATCTTTGCAGTACCCAGGAAAGAGGACAAGCGGCTATTTATCCTTGTTCCAGTCATCCTCAGTTTGTCAAGTAGCCTCGTAATGTTTATGTTGATTGGTCAGTGTAAGAAAAGGTAAGCACCAAGGCAGCCTGTCCATGCAATGTGCTTTTAAGTGCGTGTCTGAGACAGAGGTTATAAATGAAACAATACATTAAATACTAAGAGCCAAATATTAACAGATGCTCCAAGACTGGACACCAAACAACAGTCTATTTTCAGAAAGCAAGCCTGTATGTGTGGCTGTTTCTGATACAAAATGCCTCGCAGCAATGACCCAAATCCCACTCACACGAGCCCAGACTGCTTCTGTTAAATGCAGCAGCATAAATAACGCCATTATCTTGCCCCAAACCACTCAGGCAGCAGAGATTTGTACTGGTTGTGTTAAGTGCTGGTTTTATGGGTTATGGCCTCATGCTCTTTGTGCTCCCATCCCAGTTGTTTGCATTCATGTCAGTGATGGCACATGGGGAAAGTGGATGCAGGGGATGGATTTTCCCATATCCAATTTATTGGTACTGATGACATTTTCTCCAGGTGTGAAGGATCACCTAGGGAGTACTGATCCCCTGGTATGATAACTATCATCTTTTCCTTATGGCCACATAGTTTAAGCAAATGGGTAGCTTTTCTAATATGCCTTTTAAGACACGACTGATGAGGGAGAACTGGCTGTAGAAATACCTTCATGTTGTCCTTAGAGATGAACTAACAGTTGAACGCATGGATTCAGAGACGTGCTCGCCTTCATCTTTGTTTTGTACCCAGCTGTCAAACATTTTGGTTCATAAAATGTGGACAAACTGCAGATGATGGCAAGAAAACTGTGGCAAGGAAATGTTTCCCAATTGCCATTGCGATGCAGCGATGCATGAGGGGGATGCTACAGCATGAGCCCAGCTCTTTCTCAGTCCCGGCAATAACAGGAGATGATCTGTGCCCATTTCAGATCCCCAGCAGGAAAGCCATTGCACACTTCTGCGGGATGCTAACTCCGTTTGCTACTGCAGTACCACTTGTGTTTGATGGACTGCTCTCGGAACATCATCCCAAGGACAGCCGAGGAGGCCTCAGCTTTCTGAAGCCCACACAGGTCTTCCCTAACTCCTGCCATCTGTGAGGCTGGTTGTTGCAATTCAAGTCCTCAACGGGCCCAAGGAAAACACTGGAGGCATTTTAAACTGACTGTGGAGCAAGCTGTTATTGATGACAGGACAAGGGAGAGAAGGGAGGCAGTGGAACCTGCTGTGAATAAAGGAAACATTGTTCTGTGGCTTTGGTTTGGTTTACTTTAAGGCTCTAGAAATGTGACAGCAGGACACACACTGAAGGGCAGCACCTCACATACAGTGCTAGGTACAAATGCCTGCTTCTAGCCGCTGTACCCACCTCATTCTCACCATGTCTTCCTTGTCCACAGATACTCAGCCTGCTGAGTGCATTTAAATGCTGAATATGAGCTACTTGAGCTATTTATTTCATTAACTGATGTGCCAAAGCTGAAGTGGGGAGGCCTGGAGAGAAACTTGTGCTGTAAGAAGGCATGATCACAGCTGCTGCAAGGGGCACATGCTTCACAGGAGATGAAAGGGTTACACTGGCAAAGGCAGTGCTGGAGCTTCTCTAGGAATTGGGCTCCAGTACCAGAATGCAATGGAGCACCCAAGGTGTTCCTCAACACCAGGTATTCAGCTGGTGAAATTGCTGACTGATTTGTAAGGAAGATGATGTTGATGATAACAGCAACAATAATAATTAATACTAATACTACTACCACTAAATCAGCAGTAGATGAGACACTGTCCTCCGAGCCCATTCTGATACGTTTTTGGTCAGAGACCTAACGAGCTGACAGCCAGAGGTTCAGTTTGCTTTCATCTGATCTGAACAACCAGAACACATTTTCTTGCAGGAGCATTTATTAAAGATGGGAATTTCCAGTGAACAGTGGAAGCTCAGAGAGGAAAATCAAGTTTGCATCACTCAGCTCTGTGAAGTGCCACGCTAATCCAATCGGGCACAAACCAGCACAGCAAGTGCTGTCTTACACATCCAACTGCAAAATCATTCAATCACTATCAGCTGCTTCCACTGCTAAATGGGCAACAACCCAATGCTATCTGGGGAGCAAGCAAAGGAAGAAAGCATGAGGAAAAAAGTCTATGCACAGCCTGGAGCAGGGACATCTCCAACCAGACCAGGTTGCTCAGAACCACATCCAGCCTGGCCTGCAATGCCTCCAGGGATGGGGCAGCCACCACCTCTCTGGACAACCTGTGCCAGGATTTTACCACCCTCACTCTACAAAGTCTCTTCCTCACATCCAGCCTCAATCTCCCTCTTTTAGTCTAAACCCATCACCCCTCATCCTGCTGCAACAGCCCCTGCTGGAAAGTCTCTCCCCATCTTTCTTATCCAGAACTCGGTAACATTTGGGTTATGGGCTTCCAGAGCTGCCACCAGGACAACAGTTACTGTGCTAATAATAATGGTTAAAACCAGAAAAAAACTAGAGAAAACCATCGGGAAAAGTCCCACTGAGATTTACCATTGCTGGGAATAGTTCCTGGTAGGGCCCTGATGTTCTGAAACCTCTGCAACAGTTTAAACATACACTAAAACCTCCTCAAGCAAGGCAGGCACCTTGAGCCCACCCTGTTGCCCTGGTACCTCGGGTGGGACCTCACCGCGGGGGGGACACTGAACACAGGCATTTGGAGTGAGCCGAATGGTGCCGCCACCTCGACCCGATGGGCAGGTTTAAGCTGGGTTAAAGTTTCTTGTCTAACTTCGTTTCAAAAAGAGGTGAAATTGGCACAGGTGAGACATGGGGAAGGAGCAGATGTTGCACCGCCGCGGCTACAGCTCGCCCCGGAAGGAGCCGAGCTATCTCAGTAACCACAGAATAGAAAAGTTAGGCTGAAGCCTGCCTAGAAACCTGCCTAGTAACAGCGATAAATTAAGTGCATCTACTTATGGTATCTGTACGCTGCAGCCTTCCAGGAGTACTTAGGTGAGGGAGGCAGCACAGGGCCTCGGTCCCAGCACAGGGCTCCCCACTCACCAAGCTCACCCCGGCAGAGAGGCCTCACTGCAGACACCGGCAGCCCCCCTCTCGCAGCACGGCACCTGCAGCATGTGCAGAGCACACTGCTGAGAGGCGGCCGAGTGAACTAAAACTGACCGCTAACAGCTGCTAGTCCTTCCTCACGCTTGAACCTCCCTGCGATTTCAGCACTATGCTTCCCCCCGTCTGCAGCATTACACTCATTACGTATTTCTTTCACACACCATTTGCATTACAGCGCTTTAATTCTGCTGCTGCAGTCTATAATTAATATTTTCAGTAAAGCGCTTTCAAAATCCCTCCTTTGCCATGCTCTGCTCTTATTGTTCCCAGCTCAGGCCTGCGTTCCCAGTGTTTTTACCATCTCAGCCCCATGTATCTGGTGAGGCGTCTGCCCAACGCACAACGAGAACTCCTCTGCATACCCTTGAGATTCAGGCCTTGTTTCTGTCTTTGACTGATGTCAAGTCTTAGAGCCATTTGTTGAAGAGTAAAACCCAATCTCTCCACCAGAGGCATTCCCCCCCCCGAGAATGTCAATACCTGTCAAACACCTGAGAGCTCGATCCTGTGCGTGCTGCAGGGAAAACCAACATCTTTTTGCCTCTGTCACGTTCTAACTGCTTCCGGGAGGGTGGACGCCAAGGTCTCTGAACTCACAGAATCACCCTCCTTCTCTCCCTGAGGTCTGGCTCCAAGCTGCCAACAAGAGAGTGATGTGAGCACCAGTTTACTTCTCTTTCCTCATTACCCAGCCTCCTATTGCTTCGTTTTTCTGACTGGCCTCTGGATACAAGACTGTGCCCTGAGAAAGGCCGAAAGCCCTAAAGCCCGGCTGGCCTCTCTCGGGGGCTCTTTGCTCCTCTTGCACTTGAGGAAACAAGGCAGAGGTTGCGTCCCACCGGCCGAGGCATCCCCGCTGAAACGTTCTCCCTCTACGAGCGCTACCAGCGCCACGGCCACAGGGTGTCAGCAGCAGTGCTTGGACGCTTTGGAGGATGGAGGCAGGTGCAGCATCCCCCTGCGAGAGCCCGGCATCCAGTGCATGGAAAGGACAGAGGGGCCCGTGGCGCTCTCAGCGCCGGATGAGGTCCGTTCTCTTTGCGCTGCTAACTGACCAGTGCCACCCCTTTGCTCCATCGCTCAGTGATGGGCTCGTTGCTGGGTAACATCACCCCTCGTGGCACCGTGGCTACGGCCCCAGCACTGCTGCACTGACCAGAGCTGTGCTCCCCATGGCATGGCAGCAAACCCAGCCCTGCCCCTGCCCTCGCTCCCATGCTTGTGCCATAGAGCACCTATAGAAATACCCCATCAGCTCCAATGGGGGGCTCAGCCAAGTGCAGATGTGCCCTGCTGCATGTCCCTGCCTCACTGGCACCAGCTCCTGCATCCCCAAACCACTGTGGGTCTCGGAACCCACCCTGGAGCCTCCACAGGCCTCAGCACCCATCCCTAAGGCACTGCAGCTATAGGGAGAATCACAGACTGGTTTGTGTTGGAATGGACCTTAAAGCTTCTCTGGGGACCCTGTGCCAGCATCTCACCACCCTCACAGGGAAGAACTTGTGCCTTAATGTCTAATCAAAACCTCCCATTTCAGTTTAAAACCGTTCCCCCTTGTCCTGTCCCTACATAGAGTAGCAGCACCTACACAGAGTCAATACCTAGGTCTTGAAAGGATGCAGTGACACAACCCTTCTGGTTTCAGCTACCAGCTGCTGAGGCCTTGAGAGTGCAGTAACTGATGATATAATCCAGAATCTAAAGAGCACCAAGGGCCACAGCAGGTTTGCAGCCCCAGCCCTGTGTGGCAGGGTACATTAGGAAGCGCTGTCAAGCTCTTTATGTCTATGTAGAAGCTGATTTTTCTCAGGATGGTGTGTGCTTCTCATAGCTTCAAGGCAAACAAGTGCAGCTGATGCATGTGCTTAACCAAACAATTTGAGGCAACATATTGTGGCTGAGCTGTCTGAACAGCTGAAACGGCTCCGCAGACTGTGCCCAGATCCTCTTCTCAGGGTACGGAGACATAAACCAACCACTGAGAAGCGACAGCCACAACAAGGCTTGCACCAGAACTGAGCATCCGCACCCCTGCCATCCTGGGCTGCTTCCTCGTGTACTGGATGCTCCTCCAGAGGCACCACAGGACTGATCTGCAGCCCAGACCCCCCCCCGTGTGCTGGGTGCACCCCAGAGCGTGAGCAGCAGCTCAGGGAGGGGATCCTGCCCCTCTGCTGTGCAGTCCTGATCCAGCTCCGTGGCCTCCTCTGGCCTCGCTCTGACAGCTCCACGTCCCTCTTGTGCTGCTGCCCCAGAGCTGGATCAGGGCTGCAGGGGGTCTCCCCAGAGCACAGCAGAGGGGCAGGATCCCCTCCCTGAGCTGCTGCTCATGCTCCTTTTGATGCAGAAGAAATCAGAGACAACAGATGAAGTTTCCCATCCTATCTCTGGGTACCCAAGCATCCTTTGTACCCTTACAGGGTCTGGCCACAGAGCCATGGCTCCCCAGGGAGCTTGAGAGAGCCACTGTGCCACTGAGAGGTTCTCATCTGATGCATAAAGCCCAGGAGAGGACGGTCCTTGACTTTCATCTGATCATCTTCCAGCTTTTAACTGTTGAACTGGAAATATGTCCCAGCCTTTGGGACTCTCAGATTGATCTGAGCTGTTTGGTGCCCGCAAGTTTGTGCCCATGCTGCCGATTTAGTTAGGAACACACTGAGAAAACAATAACCTTGCTGCCTGCCAGCTGGGCTGAGTCCACTCTCAACAACAGAAGAGCTTAAAAGGCCAACACCACTATTTATTTTACTGAAGAAGCCCCTGAAGTTCTTGGCCGCACAGCTGGAAACACAATGACAAAGAAAAGCATTGAAGAAGTCAAGCACTGCAAGCACAGAGCAGGCTCTCAGCCCTTAAAGCTGCTCACCAGTGTTCCTACAACTGCCCCAGCTAATGGCAGCCCTAGGGGACATTACCTCAACGTTGTGGCTTTCCAAAGGAGCACGAGGCTGGCTCCAGGAATACTCAGTGTCCATGGAAGTGGGTACACAAAACTCCCTTACGTGACTGCATGCAGTCAGGCTTGGTCGACTCTGGATGCTCTTGAGCATGGCTGTACATCTCGCTGCACACAACCTGGGGCTGGCTCGGGGCTGGAACACACAAGCCCTTGGCTTCATGCTGTCCCGCCTGCGGGACACGCGCTGCCTTGGCACGTCCTCGCCTGCCTGCCTCCAGAACCGTGCTGGTTCTCATGGCTGTGCTGGACTTGGAAGGGCCAGAGCACAAACAGCTTCTCGCTTCAGGACTGTGTGCTGGCCACGCTCTGGGACACGTCCCTGGGCAGGGCAGAGGTGCTGCCTGCAGGCAGGCTGGGCCCGGCCGCCCCGCTCCACCTCTGCAGCACACATTCCTGCATGATGCAAGAGCTGAGCCCTCAGGAAGCTTTCTGGTTGCTGTTACTGCTGCCCCAGCAGAGAGCACAGTCCCAGACCGGCAAGAGCCACGCGTGAGAAACCTGCTTCTAATTTTGAGTTTATTTCTGTCCCTTTTTCTGTGCCAGTGTTTTCCTGTAGCCTACGCAGCTCCTCTCCCTCCCCAGTCAGAACAAGCATTCCCTTGATGGCATCCTGATGGAGAGCTTTCTTCTCAACTTTGCCTGAAACAAGCCAAGCATTCTATTCTCTTCCCATTAAAAGGGCTCTCTACGGCCCTGCCTGGACTTGTACCCCCTCATCGTGCCTATTCCCATGGCTGCTGCTCAGTCCTGTCTATGTCTGAAAGCAAAAGTGCCAACAAACCACAACAAAGCACAGCAGGCAATCACATTCATTCACCTCCAGGAGAAAAGATCTGGCTAAGGAAAACCACCATTTGCTCACCATGGTTTGCTGCATGGAGTCAGTAACGCATCCCAGCACCCGCAGGACAGCCTGGTAGAGGATGCAGGCAGTCTCCTCTTCAGCAACACGCAGGAAAGGTGCAGGATAGACCAAATGCCTGTGATCTGAGGGTTAGCACAGCTGAAACCTCTGCAGAGCATCTGCACTTACCTATTGCTTTGAGCAGCATCATGATCTTTGGGAAGTGTGGGCTCCACAGGGAGCACTGAAGTCTTCCTATCCAGAAAGCCACAGAAGAGCTGTTGTAGCCTTCAGATGCCTTCGCTGAGCATCCGCCTGTTCCTCTGCAGGAGGAGACACCAGCATCAGCAGCGCACATCAATGTGAAACGGCTCTAAGCAGGCAGTGGTCTAACAGGCACCAGCCTCCAGCTCGACTGCAGTGTGTCACAGTGTAAATAACTCCGAGTGCCACAATTAGATCCTATTAACAACACACTGGGTAATTAGGCTGTATTTTAATTAAACATTAAGGCGTCCACTTTGTTGAACTAATTACGATTCAAGCACAGGAAAGTTGAGGAGAGTGGATTTCCCTTGCCCCTGTGGGATGCTGCATGATTCATTTCTCGTCACCTAAGTGCTGGTAGACACTGCAGTGACAAAGCAGCAGCAGCATCCCAGGGATCTGTTGGGTAAACTGTAGTTATAGGCTAAGAGATCCTTCATTTTTTTGGGAAGCAGACCAGGGGGCACCATTCATGGGAGATGTAAGACACAACAAGGATTCACAGAGCTATGGAATGGTTTGCGTTGAAGGGACCTTAAAGCTCCTCCAGCTCCAACCCCTGCCACTGGCAGGGACCCCTTCCACTGGAGCAGCTTGCTCCAAGCCCCTGTGTCCAACCTGCCCTTGAACACTGCCAGGGATGGGGCAGCCACAGGGCTGGAATGGGATGAGCTTTAAGGTCCCTTCCAACCCAAACCAGGCTGGGGTTCTATGAAAATCACCCACCTGAAGACTTTCCATCCCCGTGTTGTTCTGGGCTTGCAGCATCCCTGCACAGCCCAGAGGGAATGACACATCGCAGAGATATTTGTTGACTCCTGACAGCTTCAGAGCACAAGTTTCAGTGTGGGTAAAAGCGAGCAAGTGGAAGACCTGAGACTTAAAGAAAAATGAGTTAAAAACAACTTCAAACTGAAACAAGTCAAAGCATTTTTGGTTCGTGCGCCCCCAGCAGTACATTATCACCAGAGCAGCCCACATTTCGCAGTGACACCTACGGCTGCGTTCCACCTCCCATCACAGGATTCCTCCCTGGCTGTTCAGCCAGTCACAAGCTTTCAAGGGAAGACTGAAGCACAACGACACCTCTTGCTGCTCTCTGGGGGCTCTGGGATGCGCATGTTCATACGTGCAGATGTATGTGTACATGTACCCACCTCTGCTCTTCTACTGCGCCAGCCCAAGGCTTGGTCATCTTTGGGGGCTTTTTCCCAGAAAAAAAGCTTCTGATGCCTTTTCTGCCCCAGCCTGAAACGGAGACAAAGACAAGTGCAGCTCTTGGCTGGGCATGCAGCTACCCTAATGATACTGGGACCCAGGGAGGAAACCCATCCAAGAGACATCTGCATCTTTATCGCATGCCGGATGCTGCTTTGGAATGCCAGATTAGCCTGATTTGTCTGCAAGAACAGCAGACGCTCTTCATTAGTAGCTCAAAGCTAAACAATATTTTTGAAGACCTGCTTGTGGTTTGCTTTTTTCCATTATTTTCTTCCTTTGGAATTTGGGTCTCCCTGTCCAGGGCCCTCATGGCTCCAGCACATCACACGACTGCAGTCAGGCTGATGACTTGGAAGGGAAGAGCACTGGCCATGCTGCACGTCAGTGCTGAACCTCTTTGTAGGGCTGCCCAGGAGAAAGGCACGAATGGGTGACATGAGAGTCTCTATAAAGAGAAAGGCACCAACCACACTGTCCACGCTGACTACTCACACATCCCCTAACATGAGCATCTTTAATTTATCACTCAAATAAAAACTATTGCTGACTCACGGGTCGTTAAAACAAGGAGAGCCATGCTGAGGTGGGATGCCTTGAAGATCCTCATCACTGGCTCTTCCCATGTGCCACATCCTCTGGGTAGCAGCTTGCATCTTCAGCAAGCACAGGACTGAAGGAGCAGGCCCTTGTCCCCAGAGGACAGCCTCTGAGGTCCTCGGAGATCTCCAAAGCCACCAGGGTTGTCTCCATGGAGGCCACACTCCAGACTTGGCTGTGTGGAGCAGCTCATCGCAGATGTAGATGAGCCAGCTCAGGCCTGGAAGCCAGGTGGCTGAGCCAGAGCAAACGTGGCAGCAATGGGGGGAAGGCTGCGAGCCCCTACAGCTCAGGAGGGGCCAGTGCACGGGCTGGTTCATAGCATCACCACTAGTAGCCTCCTCAGTGCAAACCAAAGAGAGTGGTCTGTTTGCTGGGTCAGACCCTCCATGTGCATGCTCCATCTCTTGGGCAGCCTGCCCATGCATGTCCCATCTGGTTAGGGAAGCAAAGCACCCAACACGCTGCAGCCTATGGCACCATTTCCACTTGATCGGCCCAACCTCAAAACCAAGCACCACCACCCACTGCTTGTAAGACAAACCCATACCTGAGCCGAGGCTTGAAGACTCACACAAGGCTTCCAGTGGGTACTCCCACAGCCACCAGGCAGCCCCAGGGCAGGACTTCTTGAGGCACCACCACGGTTAATGGCTACAGCTCAGCAGAGCAAAGCTGCTGAGGAACAACCTGTCTTTGGGTGAGTTGCAGAGAACTAAATCCATTCTTCAGACTGAGGTAACGTTTAAACTCTAATTTTTAACAGCTATTCCTGGAGGGAGGGCGGAAGGAGAAAAGGGGAAAGCGTTTATCACCGTCTCTGCACTTGTAACCAGTCTGAAGCGCTGGTATCTGCTGATGCTCATTTCTGTGATTAAGCAGCTAAGGGCCATACTTCAGTTGTGGGAGGAGAAATGAAAGTTATCTTCAGGCTTATCCTCATTTTTTGTTGCTGTTTTGGTTTTGGCTCACAACATTTTTCACTCAGGAAAGATTTAAGTGGGGACGGATGAAAGGCAAAGAGGGCACATTCATTCCTCTGTGCTCTGACAGACCATGAAAGGAAAATTAAGAGCGATTAAACCAACAAACTTTCTTTAATAAATTAATAGCAGCATCACAAAACCCTGATGTGAATGACCCAAAGGAAGCTGGGTAAGTGACAGTGTCTGACCATTCACCCGCTGGCTGGGAGCGGGCGCAGGCGCTGTAAGGCAGTCCCCCTGGCTGTGGATCTGGACAAGTGATGGACATCAGAATGGGCTGACACATTTACACTTCTGGTGCTGAGGTTTTAAAAACATTTATAAAAATTCTGTAAATTCTCTGTTCAGTTCCCATTATTTACATCCAAATATAGCAGGTTCCCTTTTCCCCCATACAACAGAACCGGCAAGGACAAGACGTGAAGGCTGCTATGCAAAGACAACGCCTGTGTGTGGACTTATACCGAGTCTGAGGATGCTATGGAAAAGGAACTATTCACACACGACCTATTGACACATGTGCTAGAAGCAACTGGAATTCAACTTATTGCTAAATGCCTTCAGAATCTGTGGTTGTCTTTTAAATATATATATATGTATATATATGTACACCCTCACACATACATATACACACACATATACATGTTTGGAACAGATGTGCTATGAGTTCACCCAAGGCAAAAAAAAAGAACTCAAAAAGCAATGTGATCTTTCTGATCTTTTCTGTGCAGAGCACGGAAGAGCAGCCCCTGGAGGAACAAGTTTGTGCCTGTGGCCAGTCCTTTTCCTGCTGGTTACCAGACCTTTTTGGAGAGGCAAGTGGATTCCCAAGCATTCAAGCCCAGGGCAGCAGCAGCAGACTGACACATGGTGCATCTGCTGCCTTCTGCAAGCTGTAAGCTTTGCACTCGCCGGTCTTCATGGAAGTACTATGGATTTTTCCCAGGAAGGACTGAGGGAGAAGAGAGGATTATCAGCATATTAAGCTGGGAGCAGCCCAGCAGCAGATGTAACCTGCCAGTTGTGTTCCAGCAGCTGCCTCAGCAAGGTCGCTGCTGTACACAGCAATAGCACAAAGTTGTGCTGAAGCACTGGCAGAATTTTCCATTCCTTTTACAGGTTAATTTTGGTGGGATGAACGCAGCAAATGTGGGGTACAAGGAGTTCATGCTGGTAAAACACAATTTATCCATGCCTAGTGTAAGCTCTTCTGTTCCAAGGGTTTTCATAGTCAGAGGCTGTCAGTGATGCTAAAGGCATCTGTGTTACATGAGCACTGCAGCATTTGTGTAGTAGTTAATGGAGATATAAAAAAACTTATGGGTTGGCATTAGGCAACACTCTGCACAAGGAAAATTGCATGAGAGGCATCACCCCAGAGGCACACTGCCAGAAAGACACAATGCCCTGGGAGGGTTTTCTACACAAGGTAAAATTAATTCAAATGATACGTGGTGTGAATTAAAAGCATTAAATCCCAACGCGGATGCTTTCATTAAGATGTAAGTGGTTAATATGATCTACTATAATTTACTTTGGGAGCCAAATGGAATAAATCAAGTTTAAAAGTTAATCCAGAGTAATCTTCCATGTAGACTGGCTCCAGGTCTGCTTCCTTCCTGTCCCTGGGCATCATTTGCTTGTGAACCATGTCACCAGCAAACTATTCCAGTCACATCCTCTGCCCAGCCCCTGCTGAGACAGGAGAAATGAGCAGGGACCCTCATTCATGCCTCTCTCCCAGCATCGCTCAGGTAGGCACATCCTGCACCTCACAGCCCGACCCCGACCAGCTCCACGTGTGCAGCAGCTTCTGCTCTACACCCAAAGCAGTTTTACCACCAGCACTGCAAGACTCAGGATGCTGAAAAATCAAAGCAAATGCTAAAGAAGCCAAGGAACAAACAGATGCGAGGACCGACAAGACGAGAGCTCTGCCAAAGCCAGAGTGCTCTTCTCCAGGTCAAACAAACCCTGATCATCCAAGCAATCTGTGCCATCCGCACTGAGCACATCTTGCTCTATCCCAGAGCTGATGATTAGCTGTAAGACCAAAGGAAGGCTTTTTATAAATCTAGGGCCCTCCATCTCTGAAATGCCTGAAGCACATAAGTGGGGCTCACTCTGTTTCTCGTGCTGCTCCTCCAAGTGTGCAAGTGACCACAGTCAGGATCGCAAACCCACACCAGAACTTCATTCCCCGCCTCCCTTAGGGGAGCCGGAGCCTCCTGGGGAACTGAAAGAAAACAGCAGGATGGGAGGGGGTGTCAAAACCCAACAGAGGTCCCTTGCAGGGCAGGACTGCCCCAGTATGGCAGCAAGCCACTACCCGTAACAGGACGAGTCTGGCCACTGCCTGCACAGCCCCTATGCTTCCATATGTCTCTCTGTCAGGTTTCTGTACAGTCTTTACACGGCACAAATAGGGGTGAGGATTTAAAGTATATATTTACTGTCAACTTGAAAAAGAAAGTTCTACTGACCAAGTCTAATAGCATGTATTTGATATATAACTATTAACGTGCCATTCTGGACTCCAGCAAATGCCACCTGAGATAAATATTCAGCATTTTTGTTCATGCACTGGAAGAAGAATTCAAACATTTTGTCCATGACATATGCAAAGTAACTAAGAGTTCTGATCTAGTATTAACAGTAAATATAGAACCTTAAACTTCACTGCATTTATACTAATATATATGATCTTAAGTACTGGACTGGAAAGACAACTCCTTTTTCTTTAAAAAAAAAAAGCTTTGTTCAGAATGCAATATTTACATGGCCCTTGGACCAACACTTACATTTTTATACAATATACTTTGGCTACGGATAACCCGCAGCAAAAGGCTGTGTGAGCACCTTTACACACAGCTCACTCTTTCACTTATAACATTACAGCTGTTTATGGACAGCTCTGAAGTCCCTGGTTGCATTTCCAGGCCCTCCTCAGCATCATCTAGTACCATGCTATTGAGTTCGTTGCCATTTCGATAACTAGTTAAAGTCAGGTCTTTGCCATATAAAGCTGTTGAAGCCACATTCAGACACTGATTCTGCCGCAGGGCTGACTTTTTACTGGTCTTGTAGAGGCAGCGGATGTAATTGGAAAAAGCCCTGCGGTACGTCTTGTTGAAGAGTGTGTATACGAGGGGATTGACCCCAGAGCACACATACCCCACCCAAACAAACACATCAAGGAGTTCACTCAGCAGGTCTCTGTCGCAGGCTTCCTTGCAAAGGACAGACATGACGTTAGTGATGAAAAACGGGCACCACATGATAAGGAACAAAAAGAAGACGATGCCCAGGACCTTGGAGGCTCTTCGCTCATTGTTGATGGACTGCATAGTTCCTTTCCGAAAGAGCACTGCCTCCTTACTTACAGGAGAGTTCAAGTGAGATGCCCCCTCGTGATTGTGAAGCATCGAAATGTTCTCTGCGTTGTTTTCCTTCTTGAGGCAGTTTACGCTGCTCCTCCTCTGCTTGGGCACCTCTCCGCACATGAACACCGTTGCCTGTCTCTGCAGCACCTGGACAGTCAGGCAGTACGTGATCACCATGATGATGAGAGGGATGAAGAACGCCATGAAGGATCCAATGAGGACAAAGTTCTCGTCATTGAGGACACAGGTCCCATTTACGAACACCCTGGAGTCATCCTGCAAACCAATGACTGGAATGGGCATAGATATCCCTAGAAGAAAGAGACCAAAACAAGAGACTGTTACCTGGATGGACAGGGCCCCAAAGAGGCAGCAGAAATGATGTGGGTCCTGCATGCATTTAGCCCATTGCCTCAACCTGTCCCAAAGAGAAGCTACTAGTCCCACATGGAAGGGAAAACCTCATGTACCAGCTCCTGGGAATGCAGCTCCAGGACACGAACACCCTCTACTGGGATCAAGTGCAGCTTTGCTGTGCTCCGCAGCTGGCACAGTGAATGCAGCATCTCTCCTTTATCAAGTCCTTTTCCAGCATTAATTGCAGTCATTACCCTGCTCTGTTCCAGCTGGCCACTCCATGCCTGCCAGATTGGGGAGGTTTTGAAATCATTGACATAGGGTGGATAACAGCAAATTTGAAAGAGGAAAAAATACCAAAATGCAGAAGAACCCCAGCTGTTGAGGTTTAGGAGCAAGTTTCTTAAAGAAATTAAAATAAACCTGATAGAAACATGGCCACTTCTGCCAGGGCATCACAGACACATGGAAAAAAAGCTCCTGGCTTCCTGGGTCCTTATGCACTGATGATCTAGGCTCAGGCAGGCAGTGGTCCCTGCAAGCTCTGCCTGCCCAGGCATTTCATCCACGAGCAGTGTGAAACTGAGAGGTACCACAGACACAGCTTGAATTCTTAGAGGCAATTACACAGCTGAAGGAAAAGGCTGCAGCGTACATCTGCCTGATTCCTATCCCTCTATCTCGAATAGAGGGCCAAGAACTGGGATGGGCAAAGTGAGAGTAGAAGGGGTGCAACTCAAACGGTTACAGAGTGACTTGATGGTCTGAAATCAGAACCCCAGTGATAAACCCTCTGGCTGAAAAGGAAGGAAACTTTAAATGCCTCGATTACAACAACTAGAGCACAGCTTCCACCTGCTCCTAAGCACTAAACAGTCTAATAAGCCTTGGGAATCACTGCACTTGCCAAGGCAGTTTCCCGTGTATCCTGGTGGCACAGCGCTTCTTACAGTCATGGACTTCATCGCAGACAAATGCGATTAAGAACATGTTGGATCCCTTTTCCTCTCCAGCATCACCCAGCACAGTTTGTTTGTCCAGGATTTCAGGACATCAGGAGTCCTGGATGGAGGGTCTCTGACTGTGTGTCTGTGCTATTTGGCACATGGGCAGAGCAGACAGCATGTCAAGCCCAGAGCATGACTGCCCAGGACTGCACATAGCTGCCTGCACCCACAGCTAGCCAGTGACTTGTCCCTCACAGAGTGAAGGAATGAAAGCATTTTGAATACCTCTAATTCAGCTGCATTTACTTACTGTCCTCCAACACTCTTTTCCTCTAAGGAATACATAGCTATACTCTTGTTCTATTCTACCTTGTGAAAGTCATCATCAATTTACTGCGGGGACAGGAAGAAGAGATGCCAGAGTACCGGATCTCCCTCTGCCCTGGCTCAGTCCCAGACAATGGCAGACCCGAGACCTTCCAAACAGATCTGTCTAGACACAGCCAAATCCAGCAAAAGCAACAACATATTTTGGAATACCACAACCTATGCGTACGGGTGAACATGGAAAAGACATGGTGGGCCAGGTCTAGTGACACTGTCGTGGGTTTATCTAGCCCTGTCTCATGTCTTTGGTGGGTACCAGACGTTTAGGGCCATGGTACAGGATGGGGCAGTCATCAGCATTACAGCTTAGACAATTGCACAGCAAGAAGCTGCGTCCACACCTCATTTGTAAAACAACCTTTGAGAGAGCTGTTTTCTGTGGATCCTTGACTTCATTCATAACCCCACTGTGCTCAGCAGCATCCGGCTCCACGGCCTGTTTGCCTTGTGAGCAAAGTATTTCTTGTTCATCTCACATTTGCTGTCTGATAATTTCCTTTGACTCCCCTCACTTCCTCTACTGTGAGAAACAGTGAATAATCACTCTCCAGTCTCCTTTTCCACCTTCGCAGTGATTTTATAGACCTTCATCATCCCTGCTGTCTGATGTCTCTTTTGGAGCTGAGGAATGCTGCTCTATTTACTCGCTCTCCTCATGCCAAACTCATTCTGTGCCTTTGATGCTCTTTCTCTATTTCTTTCCAAATTCCTCTCTGTCCTTGTACAGAAGCAAACAGACCCACACATCCCAGCAGCCAGAGCAGCACAAGGTCCTTTGTGCTGCCCTTCCTACCCTCTGACCACCCGGCTGCATTCACTCCATGGGGACAGCTGCGGGGCTGGCCATGTCCTTCCTTAGCTTCTTCACCCAAACAATAACCGATGCTGAGACCGCTGTTGTGTTTGGATTGCTTTTTCTGGGGGTTGCTGGGAACAGCACAGGTCCTGTAACGAATCCTGTGGGACTCTGTATTTCTAAATAGAAAGAATCATATGTCAAAGAGATTAACCAGGGCGTTCTTCCATTCCAGCTAAGTGCTCTCCAGGATTCTGAGGAAATACATCTGCAATTGCTCATTACCATAAAATTACAAATTGCCAGTAATCTAGTGACGGAATGTCTTCTGACAAATGATGATTCTAAATGCCTTCTGTGGTCATAGGATGTGTTTCTTAGCTCAAGTGATAATTCCAGGATTTTCCCTCTGCGTGCTAATGCTTATCAGCTTAACCTTGGCAAGGCAGTTGCCTCCTTTCTGATACATTAACCCCTATTACCTTGTCTGTGCCAAATCCCTGTGACTGCAAGAACCTTCATCCCATCAAGCCATTGACTCTTTATCGTTAAAGACATCTTTGTACTGCCTTGGCTCCATCAAACCCCAGGCATTCGGGAAGTGGTGGCAGGTGCACAGAGCAGTCTTCTTGCAAAGAAAGCTGAATTAGGCCGATGGCATTACACTGGGATTGTATTTCCACAGACCGTTTTATGCTTTAGAGCCATCTATAACATATATCCTTTGACATAAAACTCCAAAATGAATAAAGGGTCGTTCATGAAGTAGTCATTATTGGATTTAGTATTATTGCTTTAGCCAAGGGAAAAGAGATGAGGTTTCAGGACATCTTCATGGTCACACACATAAAGCACTTTTGGGAAGAATAACCTAGTTCTGGGGTATGATGAATACACAAACCAAGAGCACTGCCAGCAGCCTACAGCTCTGCATGAGCATGACATACCTCAGCACTGATGGCAGGTAGCTGCTGTAATGGAAAAGTGACCTCTACCTCTCTCGTAATGAAGTGGGATTTCAAACTGAGAACGCACAGAAGAGAGAGAGCACCAGGTCTTTGCTCCCTCCTCCAGCCCAGGAAAATTCCAGCACTAACAGCAGTAGGAAGAAAGATGCCCTTGGAGGAGCTGCCAACACAGAGTCAGTGAGCTGCTAGCTCACCTAGAGCACTGCTCAATGGGGAGCATTGCTCTCATCTCAAATGCTTTCTTCTGCCTCACACTTCTCCTCTGCAACTCATTCTTCATGATTTATCACTCACCCACTCCACAGTCCAGCCCTGGAGGGAGCTACGTCTGTTACACACCTTCGGCAATGGGGACTACCTCTACACCACCCCAGGAGTGAGAAGTGAAGTGTGGAAGGCCCCAGACACCCCACGGGGACTTCATGGGGGATTACTGCAACACTGCTACTGCCACACGCCTCAATGTACAAATACCTGCTGCAGACACAGCTCATGCCCTGCCTGTGATATCAATTGTGTTGCCCTGATCAGTACATGCTGTGCTTATCATGGTGCCTGGCCACGGGTAAGCATGAATGGCTGCTTTACTTTAGTTCAGCTCTTTGAATGGGTTATGGAGAAGGCATTCAACTCCACTTGAGCCAAGCAACCCACTGTACTAACGCTGCGCTTGTCACTGCTCAAAACAGAACTCAGGTACTGAGCTGAGATGTTCAGCCTCAGAGGTGTCTCCCAGTTGTATCAAATAACCCTTTCAAACCAAGGGGGCAGAGAATTCCCACAGAGGGGAGTTTGTTCCAAAGACTTCCAAGACAAAAGTGTTGTGAGCTGATTGCACATCACTCTCTGCTCTTCAGAGCAAACCTGATCACCTTGGAACTGCCTTTGCCCCAGGAAGAAGAGACAAGCAGCCACCACTGGGCAGAAAGACAGGGACCAGGTCCCTGCTAGACTCAACACTGGGAGCTCTGTGCACCCTTCTGCCAGGCAGCAGCTTGGGCAGAACATCCCTTTTCACCACAGCAGTTCACAAGGGAGAAGATGAATATGAATTCTTCTCCCCTCCTTTAGCTTCTGTCTGACAGAGCAGCAGGAAGCAAGTCAGAGAGAGATATCCTTCCAGATTACAAATCCAATTACAGCTGTTATCCTATCTGCTCCTTGTCAGCTTTAAAGATGTTCTTAAGCCAGCAGAATGGTTCGCCAAATGGGGCTGAGATGATGCTGCGGACACAGAGAAACAGATGCTCTTCACAGACTCTCAATTAATAAAACAAAACCCAAATGACTGCAAATACAGCTTTGTAAAACATTCACTTGCTTGCTCCAGAGAAAGAGCTGGCTAAAAAGTCCAAATTGTCATTTACAGAGTTTAGATTGGATGAAAACCAGTAATGTTTTTGTGTTTAATCTCTTGTTTTCTTCAGTGAAAGCCCATAGACTGCTAGGAATTACTGGAAAGATGGAGCCTTTCATGATTATTTCCACTGCAAAAGGAAGTAATTTCCATTCTTTCTCACAACATTCTTATAAAAGAGGTTATTTTATTTCCTCCATGACAACCACTTTGCTAAAAACCAGAGGTCTGCATATGGATTTATTCTGTCTTTCCACATGTGGGATTCTCAGGGCTGAACACAAGAGGGACTGTATTTTGCTGCAGGTACATGAGCTTGGGAATACCGGGACCACCTCCCCTAGTGTCTGGATTCAAAGCCTGCTGTGGTCCTTGGCAAAGGCTCTGCTGACGGACCGCAGTGTTTACATCCAGATCTTTACCCTCAGGTTTACTATTATACAAAATAGACGTGGGTTGCGACTTTGAGACGTTCACCTGAACGTTAGCAGCTGCTGTAACTGTGCATTAGCACAAGGTCTGAGAGAGGAAATAGGAACTGACTCCCCTAATCCTCTCTGAAAAGGGAAAACTAACCCAAACCTGCTTGGTTTGTCAGCAGAAGCATCTCACAGAGTGCCTGCAGGTTTCTCTGATGATAACAAACAAACGCAAGAAGTAAACCCCAACAGACAGCAGCCTCCTTACCATGAAAGCAGCAGAGCTCTTCAGAGGCAGGCTGAAGAACGTGGGCATTTGAAGTGTTCAAACCCTCAACGTTCCATTTATTCCCTGTATGCCAGCAGCCTAATGGCAGTGATTTCATGTGCTAATACAACAACCATGCACCTTCAGGGCTGCATTAGGTCTATTTTTATCTAACTGTTCTAATAAAACAACAGTGCCGGCCTTGTATTGGTTTAAAGGCAGACATAAAAGGGAGCTGAACTTTGACGGATCTCCCTGCCCTGCAATGAGCACAACTGCAAACAGCTAAATGTAATTACTGGCTGTGCCTGCACGAGGGGCTGACCTTTACTTAAACCTTGCGAGAGCGCTGAGCAGGCTGAGCCCCGATGGGAAATCAGCAAATGCCAGTGAAAGACAGAAGAAATAAATGATATTCCCCCCTGCCCTCGCATTTTGCTAACTCACTTCTGCTTTGCTCAGCCGTGCGTTTCCAGCAGTGCTTCTGAACAAAGGCCATGGGGCTCCTGCTCACAGCGTACCTGGTGCCAGGGTTGGGCTTCCCCAAGCCTGTGCTGATGATGCTCAGTACCAGTGACCTCAGACAGGAGATCCCGGCATCTCGCTTGCCCCTGGGACCAGATGGGGCGGTCCATTCACCTTGTGTGAAAACACTGCACACGTTATCACCATCTGCTGCTGTCCCAGGCAGAACCCTTCACTGGCGCCTGATGACAAACCCAAACTGATCCAGCTACTTTGCCTGAAATCCCAAGGTAGCTCCCATGCTACAAGCTCAGCTTGTTACCAACTGCTGTGATCTCCCTCACCCTGGTAACTCCTGCTGAGGGGCTAGGGAGAACCATCACAGCGTGATGGAATCAACCGGGCTGGGAAAGCCCTTCAAGCTCCTCCAGTCCAACCGTTCCCAGCACTGCCAAGGCCACCCCTAACCCATGGCACTGAGGCCTCGTCTCCACGGGGTGTGAACACTCGCAGGGACGGTGACTGCAGCCCTGCCCTGGGCAGCCTGTTCCAATGCCTGAGCACCCTCTGGGGCAGGAGATGCCCCTCTCAGGGCACATGAGTAAACCCACAGCCTGAGGGAGGCTACGTGAGTTAACTCCATCCCCCTTCACCTCCGTGCACCAGCTCCTCTTAGCCTGTAAGAAGGCTACAATTCCTTTTAGTATCAGTGGTGTCACTCCAAGCGTGTTCCCCAAACCGAGTGTCCTTTCCCACTAGGATTATCCTGAGTGAGATAGGGGAAGGCTTAACTGATACCTGGAGGCTCTTCAAGGACATCATTAGGACAGCTTGCAGGCATGGGGCTGCTCAGTCTATGTGAGAGAGGAACAGCAGCAAACCCCTGTTAGACATAAGATCACTTGATCTGTAATGAGCACTTACTGATCCTTGCAACACGTGTCTTTCAGACTTCCATAAATAGATCTCCTCAATAAAACGATGTAGTATGAAAGTTCAATGTGGATGTAAAATTCCTCTTTAAAGTTTAATATCTACCTTAAATCAAAATGATAATGTTATTAGAGGGCCAGGGAGAGGATGAAAAGAAAAAAACTCCCATTTTAGCACAGCACATATCATCATATTACCAGAGTTCAACAGAGCAATTCCTTTGTCTGGTTACTTGCTCTGTTTTCAAACAAAAAAGGGGTCTCCTTATGGCACTGATACAATCACCAGAAGTTGAAGGATGGCCCTGTCTCGGGCACTTACCAAGTGAATGGAACCAACACTGTTACTAAGGATGCATAGCTGTGAGCTGGGAAATTGGCAGCATGTGTCATTCCGGCGCTCTCTAGCAAATTACCAAATCTTGGGCTTTCTGGGAAGCAGAGGAAAACCCCTTTTGTGCCAGCAGGCTGCAGTGCAGGTCACCAGAGCTTCAGGATTCAAGGGCTTCACTTGTATTCCCATCGGAAGCAACACGAGCGCAGCCTTCCACATCACCAACGTCCCGTCAGTCACATTTCCAAAGTGAAGTGGTCATTCTCTTACATTGCTGTCACCCAGTTAACACCTTCCCCTGTGTTACACAGTGTGCATGAGAGTTTGACCAGCTCCTCATCACTCCTGCTGGGAGCTGCTCAGGGATCTCCTTGCTTGGCCAGGGTGCCCCCAAGCCACCTTCCTCACAGAGGGATGGATACAGGCAGTGCGGTGGGATGGTCAGCTTCACGTATCACACGTGAACATCTCTGCACTCCAAGCTGTGCAAAGCCTGAAGTCTTGAAACAACACCAATTTCTGCCAGCTCATATCTCCCACTGATTTTCACTTTCAGTCGTGTTGCATTGCCAGCCTCAGTACAGCGCTATCTATCACAAGCCTCACAGTTACAAGCCCAGCACTTCACAGCACCCACTTTAACTGAACACAGGAAAACCTTGCTCAGGCCACGTTTGCTAAGCACAGGACAACTGGCAGTGATGGACTTGAATCTAGAACAGAGAGGACTTTGGAAAGACCCATTCATAAAGTAATTGTCAACAGACGGGAGGGCTCTGTTATGTTCCCCTGCTTAAAAACCTAATCATAGGTTTAGGCTTGTGCAACCTGCCAAATTTATAGCTCAGTGAGCAAAGAACCTCTATTACATAGTTTGCTGTCAGCATTAACATTCCAGGAAAAGAGAACGCAAAAGCGACTAAATTAAGATAAATTACATGCTTTTTACTTCCTTTTTTAAATTCTGCTTCAGGAACCGAATTCAGAATTCTTTACATGGGGTGCATTGAAGCTTCTTCATTCCAGCTGAAGTAGGATTTAGGAAATGCAAACTGAGCAGCCTGCACTTCAGTTTTGCTCTGAATTTGGTATTTGATCATGCAGAGGAATGTACAAATCTTTTGTGATATTTAATACTGAAGGATGGAATTTAACTTGTTCCATCCTCTGGAAATTGTGTGGGGTTTCACTGGGTCCACCTGGAAAGCTGTGTCCAGCTCTTGGGCAACAGCACAAGAGGGACGTGGAGCTGTTGGAGCGAGCCCAGGGGAGGTCACAGAGCTGCTGCGAGGGCTGGAGCAGCTCTGCTCTGGAGCCAGGCTGAGAGAGCTGAGCTGGGCTGGGGCAGCCTGGAGAAGAGAAGGCTCCTGAAGGGGAGACCTGAGAGCAGCTCCAGTGCCTGAAGGGGCTGCAGGAAAGCTGGAGAGGGGCCTGGGACAAGGGATGTAGGGACAGGCCAAGGGGAATGGCTTGAACCTGCCAGAGGGGAGACTGAGATGAGCTCTTAGGCAGAAGCTCTTCCCTGTGAGGGTGCTGAGGCGCTGGCACAGGGTGCCCAGAGAAGCTGTGGCTGCCCCATCCCTGGCAGTGTTCAAGGCCAGGTTGGACACAGGGGCTTGGAGCAAGCTGCTCCAGTGGAAGGGGTCCCTGCCCGTGGCAGGGGCTGGAGCTGGGGGAGTTTTAAGGTCCCTCCAACACAAACCATTCCATGATTCTACGATTCTATGAAATCTCTGTAAGACTGCACTTTATTCAAGCAAAAAAGGCAATATGGCAGAGGGAAACGGTCAGACACTTCTGATCCTGCCTCAAAGATCTCTTTTATAAAGAGCACTGAAACAATTCCCCCCAAAAATTCCTTTCCTTCACATAATTCCTGACATTACAGAAACCTCTGGCTATCATTTTGCCTTTCTTCCCTCATTTTACTGCTGCTTCATTTATCACTTTTTATCGGAGTGATACAAAAGTGCCTTCTTTTATGTCTACTCCTCATTTACTATGACTTCAAGTTTGCCAGCTCAGTACTAGCAGCAATCCTGCTGTGGCAGAGTGTAACACAACCTCCAAAGCCTGCACAGGAGCAGTAAATCCCTCTCTGTTACCCTGCCTTCATTCTGCACCACTTCACTTGAACCACTGCCACAATCTGAGCGAGTTTATCGGCAGCAACTGCACTGTAGATGTCATTTGTACCGGCTGAGTTTTCCTTCCATAGGCTTTGCTAATGCTACTTTCTGCTTTAGTTACTTAGCAGTTTTATGATACCATTTGTCTGTCTTATCGGCATATTGCTATGAACACAGCAGCAATGCTTCAGCATCAGAAGTGGTGGGGTTCTGAAAAATGACTGCTGCTTCTTTTGGTCGCTGACCAGCTGCAATGAAAGACTTGTGTTTCCCAGCAATCATCTCTTACATTCAGGCATGCAGGCCAGGTAAATTAATTTGAGTCTCCTCTTAAAAACCCTAAATGAAAATTGGAGGAACACTATCATTCATTACGACACGGTGAAGATCATGAGCCGCATTGCTTACCTATGGATATGGTCCAAACTGCAGCAATTTTCATAATAGCCTTGGTGCGGGAATTGAAGCGGCTGTGCTCAATGGGATTGCGTATTGCTACATACCGATCAAGAGAGATGGCACAGAGATGCATAATAGATGCAGTTGAAAAGAGCACATCTAGGGAAATCCATATAGGGCACAACTGTTTAGGCAAAGGCCAAGCATAATCTGAAACATAGAGAGAAAAGAAATGAAAGGAAAAAAAAGGAAAGGAAATAATCTGGGAAGCCAGGCCATCATTTCTGAGAAACCTGCGGGGTATTTTAACCCTACGAGACCAGCAAGGGGCACGTGCATGAGGAGGGGACAAGGAAACCTCTCGCAGGGCCTCTCTCCAGGCAGCCCCTGGCTCCCGACACTCCGCAAACCCATACCCAGTTCCCCCACATCTGTTTTCCACGAGCAGTAGCTAAAGGCAAGCGAACGTTAATTTGGCAGTGCCTCCAAGGGACCGTTCTAACTCCGCTCCCCTCTTCATCTCTCAGCCACATCTGCACAAAATCAAATGTTACATTAATTTACATTACCTCACCACAGCCTTAGAATGGCTCGCACAGTGCGACGTGGCATTAGCTTCCCCCAGAGCCTCGCTAGAGCTTTCCTGATACATACCTCTCAGTTCCTGTCTGCTGAGGAGCAAGGCAGCAGCCAGGTTTTTCTAACAACTAGCTAAATGACAGTACTTTACCTTAAATATTCCCCCTAGGCAGCGTGCCTTAATAACAGAGGAATAGCTGCCTCCTTACAGAGCAGCTGGGACTGAGCGCCTGAAATCTGGAAACTGCTTTGAACGCAGGCAGAGCTGAGTGTTATCCTTTACAGAAACAAGTGTGCCAGCAAACTGAACGGACCAGATAGCCACCTCTGCCAGCAGCTGGCACGCAGCTCATTTGGGTGCCTTCGTTCATCATTACTCAGTTTACTCAGAGCTGAAGTACAGCGGGAGAATAAAAGTGACCCAGAAAAATCCTCCAGGGGCACTGGTATTTAAATCAAAGCACAGAGAAAATTGATTTGTGAATGATACTCCCATGTTAATGCTCAGAGTGGGCTGTGTGAGATCAATAACACGTCCTGCCAAGCTCTAACGCACTTATCAAAACAAATCAACAGTATCTATAGCAGCTGAAAGCATGAGAGGTTTCATGACAGTTGAATACTGAGATATTCTTGTGTCTTCATTCCAAACATGGGTATCTAAAGCAATCTCAAAGTTCACCCCAAGGATCAGAAACATCACTCTGCAGAATCAATGTCATACTAAGCACAAGGCAGCTCCATCCTACTGCTCGCGAGTGGAAAGGGAGAAATGTTAGTCTCAGAAAGCACATTTTGAAACAGATTACCCAGCCAAGAGAGACCCAGGACACCTCACATGCACAAGCCAAGATGAACTGAACCAGAGCAAGTCATTACAAACTGTCCAAGCGCAGCCCAGGAATCCTACACACAGAGCATGGCAGGACGAGACAGACACATTAGCTCATTTTACCAGTGGGAAACCCACGGGAGATGCACTAAGTAACTCACAAAACCCACATAACAAGACCTCGGCTCCTGGGAGATAAACCATTTATGTCAGCAAGTTTGCACCACTCCTACTAGATGGACTGTAAGTGGACTGAAATTCAATGTAGCAAGCAAGAGGTGCTTATCAAAGGGAACTGAGTAAAGCACTTTGTGTCTGGAGCATCTTTACTCTAAAGGGCACGTCTGCAGTGCAAACGAATTGAACTTGGTTAAATGATGACTCAGAACCTTTATGAAGCGATGATCAAATTCTGCGCACCCTGCTCTTGTTCACACTTTGCAATAAGTCAGGGCTTCGTTGGCATCAGCCTGTAAATGAGCTCAGAGCTCCAACAAAGCACACCTCTGAACTGCTGGGTCTTTAATGATGCCTCCAGGGAAGAACAAGCCTGATCTCCTTCAAGCAGGACCTAACTCCCTGTACAGCCCCAGGCTTTTGCTGTCAGCCCAAGCTAAAACACATTCAGTCACACTTTATCCCTCCCTACTTCATCCCTTAAGCTGCTTTCTGATACAGGCTGAAAGGAGTTACAGGTACAAGACCTGGAGAAAAGTACCAGGACCATGCTGTGATGGATGAAGTGGTCCTGGTGAATGTGCATGGGGTGACGGTGACTGTGCTGCAGCCTCTGCACAGGAGGATGATGGTGATGGTGATGGCTGCTCCCCACATCAGGCAGAAGGCCAGGAAATCTTCAGTGTCTCCAGAAAGGGCCTCCAGGCTCCCTGTGCATGCAGCATCTTCAATCTGATCTATGGCACTGCAGTGGGTTCCATCTGATTCCTGGCATTTGCTAGACCTGGAAGAGGTTTCTACAGCAACCACCTTCTCAGCATTACTGAATGATGAGTAACTTCTCCACTTCTTCCTTCAAGCTACCCCAACCACTTCCCATGACTGATTTCCCCTGGAACAACTCCTGCTATTGATGTGAACTAGGTAATAGCAGTACTTCTAAGCTTTAGTAATTGCATTTCCAACAGAAAGCATGAATCTCAGTTCAAATTTGGCTCCAGAAGGGATGAAACTGTACTGAACACCCGGAGAAGCAAACCCCAAATTCCTGGTAAGAAACTCTGATTTTTATGACTTGAATTAATCTGTGCCCTTCAAATCAGTCACATATTTAATGGGCAGGCTGGTAGAGCAGATAGGAGAGTGCTGAAGGAAATCAAGTGAATCCACCAGGTCAGAACAAAAGGTGATATTTCTTTAGCCAGCGTGTAATAAAACTGCAGATGTTTTTGCCTTCAGAAATTCTGTGGATGTTAGAAGTTTACACTGGACAAATTCACAGAGAAAAGCAGATAGAAAACTATTGCAATGAGAGATGAGTGTTAGCCTCTGGCTCCAAGCAGGATAAAAACATCATGTATGAAACCCTGGAAGGAAACTAATGCCTGTGTATACCGCTTCAGCCTCCAACTCTGAATAGCAGCTCATGGAACCTGAGGCACCGTCCTTCTTCATGGGAAACATGGGTCAGACACTCGCATTTAACCAGGAGTCATGGTCCAGAGGGGGGATTTTGTCTCCTGCCCTGGTAGGAAAAAGCAAACCCCGGTTCCTGCCTGCCACTGAACACAGAGATGGGCCCAAACTATGCCAGCAAAACACAGAAACTCAAAGGCATTTTGGCAAAGCTGCAGAGCTTCTCTGTGTGCAGCTCACCTGATGTCAGAGGAGAGGTCCCTTCAATTCCTTCTGCTTTACATCACGAAAGGCGGCGACAATGAAACCGAATCACTTTTGTCAGAGGTTCTAGGCGTGCGGGTGAAAAGTGCTGTGTAGCTGCGATTGCGGGCACTGTGCTGCTCGCAGCAGCAGAGGCAGAACGTCCAGCCCCTGCAGCAGGAGCTGACCCAAGAACCCAAACCACAGCAAACGGGAGCAAAATCAATGACAGGAACACTGAATGACTCCAGGTTGTAGGAGAACGGCTGATGAAGAAAGATGTGTTAGACGCTGTGACGAAAAGAAACCGTGGGGTTGCAGGAGGCTGATACAAACCCCTTCCTTCTCCACAGAGCCTCCAAGACCTCGTGGGCTTTACCCAGCTTTCCGTGACAAGCTGGAGTGGACAGGAGTCGTGCGGTCACAGACACCCCCATGCTACAAGTGGACTGGCTCACTGAATTTACATGTTAAAAAGCAACCACTGCCTGTACAAATGTACTACTTCCACAGCACAGTCTGCCCTGGGAATACACACTGCGACACTCGGGACAAATGGGGCATAACAGTGATAGAATACCCACTCACACCACAAGACAGTGAAGAGCTGCGTAAAATTCACCCCTGTAGCATCAGAAATGTTTCATGACAAACTCGCAGCAAGCTGCAACCAACACGGGTTTTTCTAACCATGAACAGGAATCTGGAGATGACTTTGGACTTCCTGTGTTTACCCAGGGCTTGGTTTGCATCTGTCAGGATGGTTAAAAGGGTGAAAACCACCCTTAAAGATCACACAGGAAGAATATGGGCATACTTGGTCTTTTAGACTCACAGTGACATTTAGACACATATTGCAATGAGAGATGTATATATACATTATATATTGCAATGAGAGATATATATACACATTATATATGTATGCACACATACATATATAATGTATATCTACATATGCATTTATACAAGGAAAACCCCAGAGCTAAGAGATGCAGAAGAACTAGAGAGGTTTATCTGTTGAAATGCAGCCTCTTTTAATGCTGTTCACTGGCTTGGACAAAACCAAAGATACATGCAAAGATACAAGCTTTTTGGCTTTCTGCTTTACATTTTGCTTTAACTACCAGCAGATCTTGAACTTCTGCAACTAAAAATGGTGGGAAATCATGAATTGGAATGAATCTTAACCTCAGTACAAAGCAGTTTCCTAGCAGTTCACATGGCAACACAGAACGTGCTTGGAGCACATCTTCCATCGTCCTCTAGCTGCCATGGATCTGCTCCGTGCCACACACGGATCTGTGCTCTGGCTCTCTGACAGGTCAGTGGCAAAAATCCTGGACTAATTCCTCCCGTAACCCCCTGGGAAATGAGGACAAGGCCTTTCAGAGCCAGAGGAGCAGCATTCGCTCACGTTTCCCTGCTGCAACTCAGAGCAGCTTGGAGATGATGGGAAACAGCGACCCAGATGTGCCCCAAAGCTGTCACTTTCTGCCAGACTGAAGTGGCTTTTGAAGAAGGGCCTGGAGCCCAAGTGTGATGGGGAAGGGCTGAGGGACCTGGGGGGTTCAGATGGAGAAGAGGAGGCTCAGGGGGGACCTGATCGCTGCCTGCAACTGCTTGACAGGAGGATGGAGCCAGGAGGGGCTGGGCTCTGCTCCCAAGGAACAAGGGATGGGACAAGAGGAAACGGCCTCAAGCTGCACCAGGGCAGGTTTAGATGGAGCTGAGGAACAATTCCTGCCCCAGAGGGTGCTCAGGCATTGGAACAGGCTGCCCAGGGCAGGGCTGCAGGCACCGTCCCTGCAAGTGTTCACACCCCGTGGAGACGAGGCCTCAGTGCCATGGGTTAGGGGTGGCCTGGGCAGTGCTGGGAACGGTGGGACTGGAGGAGCTGAAAGGGCTTTTCCAACCCATTTGATTCCATGTTTCTTTCACACGTTCCAGGCAAAGCCGTTGTTAT